AACTGCCACATTAAACAGCTTTTGGACTTACCTTTCTTTCAGTAATATCGTAGACTTTATTGGTTTTAGTAGAAATTTTATATTTCTGTTTCGGTATCTAAAGAAAAATAAAGTATAATTTACTAAAGAATTTAAGTGAGGGACACAAACTTTATGTCACAGAGAATTAAGTCGTCTATGGTTAATACTTTCGGCCAGTCCAAGTTATTAGTGCATGGCCTCAAGCTTTTGTTCCCGTTCTTTCCACAACATGTTTGTAGAAACTAACAAACACACTTAGGAAAAGACCACTTACTGCCCCTAACTTCTTCTGACATAAAGGATAGCCACAGAGTTTGATAATGGCCCTCTCGTCCACGACGTCGCTGTAGTGAGCTGGTGTGATAAACATCCCCTGGAACAGAAAGAAAGGGTGATCCCCAACAGATTACAGAACAGATCACGGAACGACCGTGAAGTCAGAATTAGAGGAGCACATGAAGAAAAAGTGTTTCCGTGAGTGTCTGCTGGACACATGGTGACATCTGGGCAGACAAGATGACCCAGAGGGGAAAGGTTTCTGCTGCCCAGCATGACAGCCCGAGTTTCTCCTCCGGGACCCACATGGCAGGACAGAACTGAATGCACACGCATGCCGTGGCATGGCATGTGCGCCCACCCCACTAGTAATAAAGGAAACTTAATCATACGTTATAACTACATACGTTGTATGTATTTAATCATACATTGTAACTACGGCCATCTTACTATGTACTTTTTATTAATTCATTTTAAAGTCATTATAAAGCAAGAACTATTATCAGAGTTGGTAATTTTAAGAGACGGATCATACATTCTGGATCTAAGGACTGAAATAAAATTTAAAGGTTCCAATAGTGCAGGGAAGTCTCATAGACGGAGACACGCTAGACTGGGGGACCAGAGATGGCTCTGCCGGAGGACCTGAGTTTGGTTCCCACCCATCTGCATCAGGTTGTTCATAAATGCTGGCAACTCCAGCTCCAGAGGAACCGATGCCCTCTTTTGGACTCCACAGGTAACTAAACATATGTGGAATGCATTCCCACATACATACGTACAGTTTTTAAAAATGATGGCGCTGGAGAGACAGTTCAGTGGTTGAGAGCATTTGTTGCCCTTGTCGAGGTTTTTGAGTTTGGTTCTGTGCTGGGTAGATCACAATCACCTACAACACCAGTTCCAAGGGATCTGACAACCACTTCCAGACTCTGGGCACTGTACACTCAAAGTGCACACACATACACGAACATATGTACAAGACACTCATACACATAGGTAAGTCCTTACAGACAGATGTCGTATTTAAAATCTGGTAAGTTGTCAACTTCATACATACACACTCCTTTAGGAATTCCTCTGTGATGTTTTCTTCCAGAAGCCGCTCGACGATGCGCACAGCCTTCCTCTCACACTCCACCTTCCTCTGCACTGCGGCTTCCAGTTCCGCTCGCCTGAAATGCCAGTGAGAAAGTTAGTCCCCTGAGAAGACTTCTATCTGCAACACTCCATGCTTTCAAAGCCACCACTAACCTATCATTTTGCCAATAAAGTCTGTAGTTTTTAACCCTGCCACTTCTGATCCAATACCTTCCAAAAAGTAAAGTAAGCAAACTATCCATTAGTGTGCAGATGGAAGCTGGCCATGAGGATTAATCCCAGGCTCAGAGCACAAGAAGGCACTTAGAGACACCTACAGACAAGGAGGACGGGTAAGGTGGTCCATGTCCACAATCACAGCACCTGGGAGGTGGAGGCAGCGAGACTCGGAGTGTGGATGACGTAGAAAGAACCTGTATCTTAAAAGACAGTATGTTTCTTCCTTTATTACAAAGTCTTACTTAATAACTATATGGATACGAGGAACCTTATTCCAGCGAGCAGTGGGATCCTGCCAGTCCTCTGTGGCCCCGTATACATGGAACGTAACGGTAAGGCTATCTCGATAAGCGAGCTCCACACAGTACAACCGTGAGAGCTGTTTTAAGACAGCCCAGGTCCCACCAGAGTCTCCATAAACCAGAAGAGGAGGAGTACCCAGAATGGAGAGTCACTGCTGTCATGAGTGTCCTGGAGACACCTCTGTAGTCCCCGATGCTCCTCCCTCCCTCTCACACCTGGACCTGGGAATATTCTCATGTGTCCTTCCTACTTTCATTAACTTTTGAGATTTTAGACTCCTGGACTTTGCCTGGAGCAATGTGTCCCTACTGTAACTTGGAAGTCTGGGACAGTTTTGCCAACAATTCTTATTTTAAAATGCATACATTAAAATGGCATTTTGAAACTAAACACCTATTTTTCCTACCACTTCATCAAGATCATCTTATTGCTATTTTGAGACACTAAAGATGGAGATCAGGGCCTCGTCAGTGCTAAGCAGGCACTCGACTACTGAGGTACAATCCCTAACTCCAACTCCATACAGAGACCACTCCTGTATCAAACACAAAAGATATAAACACAGATAACAGTTCTTTATAGTAGATATGAAAAGCTTCATGAAAACTATTTTTCTCATTTTGTACCCACCCATCAATAAAAGTCATGTCAGCTTGACTTTTATCAACCACACTGACTGAGCCATTATTGTCTTCCTAACTGACAGATACCTAGAGCTGCTTCCCATGGGTCAATGTTGCTCCTTCTGTCTCAAATGATGACAATCGGTATGGCTGTGTTGGAAGTTTTGTGTCAACTTGACATAAGCTACAGTCGCCTGAGAGAGGGAGCCTCAAATAAGAAAGGGCCTCTGTAAGACTGGACTGCATGCTGGCCTGTAGGGCATTTTCTTAATTAGTGATTGGTGGGGAACAGTCCAGCCCACTGTGGGTGGCGCCAGCCCTGGGCTTATGGTCGGTCCTATGTTCTTTAAGAAAGCAAGCTGAGCAAGCCATGGGGAACACACCAGTAAGCAGCACCCTTCCTTGGGTTCCTGCCCTGTTTGAGTTCCTGTCCTGACTTCCTTCAGTGATGAACAGTGATGTAGAAGTATAAGCCAAATAAACCCTTTCCTCCCAAGTTGCTTTAGGGCACGGTGTTTCATCACAGCAATGGAAACGCTAACTAAGACAGTGGGGTATGGAGCAGGTCTCAGGCATTCTGCTCTTGGATTCCTTTACAGTCTTAAAGTTTGCTGTTCTGCACTTTACAAACTAAATTTCTCATTGTGACATGCTGGGTACTACATGAACAGAATTCCGCCTCCTTCCTCCCCTCTAGGACTGTCATACACCATCCCACCTCAGGGTCCTCGTCCATACTGTCACCCCAGCTGTTAGTCTCTCATCTCTACTGTCTGTTTTACACTGTCTGAAGACTTTTAGAAAACCCACAGGTCTGCCGATCTAAGTCACTGGCCCCTCCTCCATCGCCAGCCTTTTTCTTACAGCACCCACGGCAATTTGTAACGACATACGGATATTTCTCATAACCCAAATACAGACCATCTCGTATTTGGAAAATATCTAGAAGAAGAACTAGCAAATCTTGGGGTGAAGAGCCACAGATACGTTTAATGTCTCCACAGACAACTCCTGTCCTGAGATCTTCTGGGACATGAGAGACCCTGACATTTTAGAAGTTTCCAACAATAAAGACGGTTTGGTTTGTTTGTTTTTAAATCCGTACTTAATGTTACGAAGGAGGCAAAAGGTCCCAATGAGCCTGGCATATACAACAATAAGTGTGCACCTGAAGAGAAGGGAAAGGACTACTCGGTTAATTCAGTCCGAGCCTCCAGTTTGCTTTCTTAAAGCTGGAGGATGTAACAGCTGTGAGAATTAATAGTGCTTCCTACGTCTTCTCGTAAGTATGTTCTCCAAAACAGGTATCCATGATCGTTTTTAACTGTTCTGGCGAACACATCACAGTACAGAGTGCTTTTTTAGCACGTATGAAGCCTGAAGGAAGCTCGATTCCCAAGACCAGAAAATAAAACATCAGGACCAAAAACATCTGATTCGATTAATGAGATAAAAAGAGAGTGAAATGCAGTTGTCCACGTGGTCTACCTTCTGGAAGCATCTTCTGGCTTGAGGACCCTTGTCTGTTTAGTGCCTGCAATGGAAGAGACCAGTGAGGGTAAACACACATTTAGTGCATAGTCTTACCCCAACACCTGTGGCCCGCGTTTCCTTTTCTCTCACATTTCCAACTCCAACTTGCAAAAAAGGGTAAACAGGAAGGAAATTTCACAGTTTCTGTAAATTAACTATATTTTAATTTTTCTTGACCAAAATCTGTCTCTTTGGGGACTGGTTGTTTTTCTACTTTAATCAAGTGCTTCAAAAAAAAAAAAAACTAAACTGGGTACTTTTAGGATAAATATTTCTCGTCTCCCAAATGGACAGTTTGCCTTAAAAAAGGAGTCTGGAATCTCAGAGACCCGGTACCAAGGCACAAGGTTCAAAGCAGCTGAACACCCCTGTCTCGGCCACTTGTTCCCTAGGGGTCCCCAGCCCAGCCACGCAGGGGGAGATCCTGAAACACCTGCGTAAGAGTGTGGGATTCTTGCGGGATTCTTTCCCCGACCGCACCAGGGAAGTGGTGGGGAGCCACCGGCCACCCGGAGCCCTCCCTCCCGGGGACGGCCTCGGCCAGCACTCCGCGCGTGCGTAGTACTCAAACCAGGGCCTCAGGGTCCACACCTGAAGAGGCTCGCGTCCCTACCTGCAGCCTTCCGGTGGGTGCTGGAGGCCCGGGCACTCGGGCCCAAACAGTGAGGAGCAGCAGAGGCAGCCATGGGAAACGCCGTCGGAAGGCAAGGGGAGGGTTTGCGCGGCGACCTCGAGGCTCCTCCTCCACGCATTGCCCGGACCGGGCTGGGGGCGGGCCTAGGGAGGGCGGGGCGAGCGCCGGAGGGGGCGGGCCAAGGGGGAGGAGCGAGCGCCGGAGGGGGCGGGCCCAGGAGTACGGCCTGCGCTGGCCGAGGTGGTGGAGGAAGGAGGTGGAGAGGGCGCGCGGTCTGGCGGGTAGGTGGACGTGCTGGGTCGGGCTGGTCCCGGCTCTCTGGCCAGGATCCGCGCAGCACGCGGCTCGCCTACTAGGCCCCTTGAGGTGCTGGAGCCTGGATGCTCTGCCCAGCAGGAACAGGGAGACGGGGACAAATGGCTTCCTCTCGGCTCAGCCCATAGGCGCGGTAGGGTGTGATTTTCCTGTCCAGTCACCAGCGGTGGCCTTACCTTCGGTGATCTCACTGACTGGGATTGGTTGGTTACTCTGGGGAGGGCAGGTCCTCTAGAGAAGGAGTGGAGGGCATCGCAGTCTTTGACTTCTTTGGGTGACTTAATTGTGTTGGACTTCACTTTTTGTCAATGGGACATTTTAAAAAAATCCCTAATGAATAGAATTTTTGTCCCAGGTCTACGGTTTGGATTTTTTTTTTTCATGAAAGGAATATTTTCCCCTGTTGGAAAAAAGGTTCTTCTAGGAAGTTCTCTCTAGGGTTCTCTTTCTTTATTCTCTTTTCATTCTTTCACAGTTATGCTTTTTAGGCAATACGATAAGGGCTTTAAAAATGCTTTATTAGCTGGGCGGTGGTGGTGCACGCCTGTAATCCCAGCACTCGGGAGGCTGAGGCAGGTGGATCTCTGGGAGTTCGAGGCCAGCCTGGTCTACAAGAGCTAGTTCCGGGACGGGCACCAAAGCTACAGAGAAACCCTGTCTTGAAAAACCAAAAAAAAAAAAAATGCTTTATTAGGCTAGCACACGAACTTTTTTGAGCTGTAAAACTTTACATTGTGTTCACTGTATTTTCTAATAATTCAGAATGAAACATAATTTTCATGATATCACACAATTAACTTTGTTTTGTATTAGTTCATTTCAGAATGGCTGTGGAGGAACTTCAGAGCATAATAAAAAGATGCGTAAGTAGTTCCCTGAAAACACCTTCGAAAACTATGGGAAGTGCATATATTATCTTTAATTACGCTGTGGTCACTCATATTATTTGCCTTATCTAATTCCTGCTTTTTTGGATTTGTAAATAAACAGCATAAGATCAGGAAGGTAGGCTGGATTTTTTAAATTATTTTTTTATTTTTACACGTGTGGCCTTTAATCCTAGTAATTAGGAGGCAAAGGCAGGGGGATCTCTGTGAATTTGAGGGTGGCCTGATCTACGTAGTGATTTTCAAGACAGCCAGGGCTATGTAGAGAGACCCTGTCTCATAAAAGAGGGGGGCTAGATAGATGGCTCAGTTGTTCTCACAGAGGACCTGGGTCTATTACCCAACACCCAGACCCTCTTCTGGCTTCCATGGGCACCAGGCACACACCTACTGTAGGCAAACACTCATATATATAAAATAAAAAAAAAATCCTAAACTCGTGTGTGTGTGTGTGTTTGCCACACACACACACACACACACACACACACACACACATTAAAAAATCCTCAACTCTCTGTGCAGGTGCTTATGGAAGCCCAAGGTGTCAGATCCACCTGGAGCTGTAGTTACAGGTGGTTGTGAGCCACCTCACCTGGGTGCTGGGAATTGAACTCAGGTCCTCTGTAAGAGCAACATATACTCTTATCCACCCAGCCATTTCTCTAGCCACAATATCCATTAATTTTAGACCTATGATTGTTTTCATAGGTTTCTTTAATACAGTAGGTTTAAGATCATGCATTGAGCCATACTGACTCATGCTTATAACCACTATTCAGAGGCTGGGGCAAGAGGATCTGAAGTTTCCAGGTCAGCTTAAACTTCATCATGAGACCCTGTTTCAAGGGCAAAATAAAGTCAATTGTTAAAATATTTATGTATTTATGCGCACTTTTTCTAGAATTTAAGGGTTTTTTTTCTTCCCAGAGACAAAATCAGGAACTCATTCATACCGAATCTATATTTGCATCTGTACTTTTTTCTATTTTAACAGCAAATCCTAGAGGAGCATGATTTTAAAGAAGAGGATTTTGGCCTCTTCCAGTTAGCAGGCCAAAGATGCATCGAGGACGGGCATGTAGACCAGCTGCTGGAAATTATTCAAGACGAAAAGAACAAGGTGAGCACACTTTGTGTCTACTTTTCAGTCTCTAGTTGGGAAGGGAATGATACATTGTTGTTACTCATTAATCCGCTTAGTTATCTTTAGCTTCTTAGTTACTTCTCTACTGCTGTGATGAGACACCATGACCAAGGCATTTTAGATTACCTGGTCTCTGAGGCTGGGTGCCTCAGGAGTCAGCGTAGTCCCCCAGTGGCTGCCCCCTGCTAGGTGCCTCAGCAGTCCCGTCTGGCCCCAGAAGCCAGAAAGGGCTGCTGGTCCTCGGTCACAATGAAAGCTTTAGGGAATCGGGTTCTGATGATAGTGAAGGAGGCAGCAGCAGCTGCAGCTCACCGCGTACACGTAAAGGAAGGAAAGGGGAAGGGACAAAAGCTGTGACCTTCCTTTTGTATCCTTCCTGTCTGTGCACTTAGGACACCCCTGCATGTGAGGCTCCCTATTGAGACTGTAATCAACTATAACATACTTTTATAGTCCCCAACACAATTTTGTGAGGATTTGTTTTTGAGACAGTCTTTAGCCCGTGCTGTCCTAGTGTTTTTAAAACTCACTGTGGTTTTTGTTGTGTGTTTGTGGTGTGTGTGGGGAGTATGTACGTGTTTGTGTGAGTGCGTGCCAAGGTTAGAAATTGACATTGAGTGCTTTCTCCATCTCTTCCCATCTTTTGAAACAATGTTTCTCACTGAACCTGGAGCTCATAGACTGGTCTAGGCTGGGTGGCCAACATCTAGAGATCTGCCTCTGTACTTCCCCAGTGCTTGCTGGTTTGTCTAGCTTTCCCTAACGCTTTGATTGCCATCGCCTGCCGGTGTGCCTAGCTTCCCCAGTGCTTAGACTACCAGTGCATGCCCGTGTCCCTAGCTTTTTGTGCGGGTTCTGGGTATCTGAACACAGGTTCTCATTTTGTGCAGCAAGTATTTTACCGACTGAGCCATCCCTCTGGTCCCTCGCTCTGCATTTTTAAGTTTTCTTGATTTTCCCAATCACATTATCAAAGGATAACTTCTGACAATACTTTTAGTTGCTATCAATACTAAAGTCACTAATCTTTAAGTTTGTGCCAGGTGTTTTCCATATGCTACCTTATTGAGCCTTCCAGCCTCTCATCAGATAGGCACTGTCATTAAACTCATCTTGTAACACCTACAACTCTAAGCTACTAAAAGGCTGAGGGGGAGGACTACTTGAGCACACAAGTTCAAGACCTCCAGGGCAATATGATAAAAGAAAAAACAATCACTATATAGATAAGAAGCAATCACTGAAAGATACCTCACCTTTTATGTGACATCCACAATTCAGATATTTGGAGCTCTTGACTCCTGTGCTGGATTTGGGCTTAAAAGAAAGTTTCTTCTTTCTTTCTTTTTTGAGACCGGATGGCCTCAAATTGGCTACATAGTTGAGGATGACCTTGAACTCATTGTTCTACTACCCCCACCTGGGATCACAGCTGTGTACCACAACTTCAGGTTTTCACTGTGCTGGAGACTGAGCCCAGAGCTTTGTGCATGCTAGGCAAGCACTCTACCGCCTGAGCTGTGGCCCCAGACTTACAAGAAAATTGGGAAAGAATAAAAGAGATGTTGATTATGGGGAATGAGAGCGGGTGAGCCATAAAGGACGGCTGACTGTTTTGTTTTATGGGTTTGTTTTTTTTTTTTTTGGTTTTTCGAGACAGGGTTTCTCTGTGGTTTTGGAGCCTGTCCTGGAACTAGCTCTTGTAGACCAGGCTGGTCTCGAACTCACAGAGATCCGCCTGCCTCTGCCTCCCGAGTGCTGGGATTAAAGGCGTGCGCCACCACTGCCCCGCTGGTTTGTTTGTTTTTCTGTGTTTTTGTTGTTTAGTATTTGCATCTGCAATACAGGATGTGATCTCAATTTTTAAAAAAAGCAGCCCAAGTTGAAGATGCAAGAAAGTTGCCCTTGAGAATTTTTATCTTTTAAGACAGCAGATATTCAGATGTAGATTTGTATGTTACTCTTTAAGATTAGGTCATTAAAGCATAAAGGACAAGGGAGATTCTGAGTTCACAAGAGACAGAAAAGAGGCCTAGGATCTCGTCTTTTAAAATTTTTTGGGTAGGAGTATGATGTGCATGTGTGTGTCCATGTTTGTACACGTGAGTGTGGGCATAGGCACGCCGTGGTGAGAGTATGATGTGCATGTGTGTGTCCATGTTTGTACACGTGAGTATAGGCATAGGCACGCCATGGTGAGAGTATGATGTGCATGTGTGTGTCCATGTTTGTACACGTGAGTGTGGGCGTAGGCACGCCGTGGTGAGAGTATGATGTGCATGTGTGTGTCCATGTTTGTACACGTGAGTGTGGGCATAGGCATGCTGTGGTGCATATCAGAGGTCAGAGATGTGTCCTCATCTTGAGTCCCTTTGTTGTTCTGGCCGTATAAGCTGGCCCTCGAGCGCCCCCAGATTTCCGTCTTTGCTCCCATCTTGCAATAGTGACACCGGGACACTCGCGTACCGCCATGCCCAGCAACACCAGGACACACACACACTGCTGTGCCCAGCAACACCAGGACACATGCACACTGCTGTGCCCAGCAACACCAGGACACACGCACACTGCTGTGTCCAGCAGCACCAGGACACACGCACACTGCTGTGCCCAGCAGCACCAGGACTCACGCACACTGCTATGCCCAGCAACACCAGGACACACGCACACTGCTGTGCCCAGTAGCACCAGGACACATGCTCACCACCGGGCCCAGTGTTTACTGGGGTTCTAGGAATCGGAACGCAGGTCCTCAGGCTTGCTTGTAAACACTGCTCCCCCCCCCCCCAGCCATTGTCCCAGCCCTTAGCGGCCCATCTGTGTCAGCGAGGCAGAGGAGGAAGGAGAGCATGGCATATTGGTCCTCAGGTATTTTGTGGCTGAGTGGTTTATTTTTAGTATGTTTCTAAATAGTTAATGGGATAGATTTAAAGATTGTGAGGTTTAGGCTTAGTGTCTTGAAAATCACCTTTGTACTCTATAATCTGACAACAATAGGGTCCAGATTTCAATACAACATTGAACACTTGTGGGGGGAGGAAACTTGTTCTTTTCCTGGCCACCCAGACTCCTGAAATAATCACACAGAAACTATATCCTTTGCAATACTGCTTGGCCAATAGCTTAGACGTGTTTCTAATTAGCTCTTATATCCTAAACTAACCCATCTCTGTTAATCTGTGCATCACTGTAAGGTTGTGGCCTACCAGCAAAGTTTCAGCGGGCTCTGGCAGAGGCTTCTGTCTCCTGTGGCAGCTACATGGATTCTCTCTGACTCCACTTTCTCTCTATATATATCTCTTTCAGCCTGGCTTTACTCTGTTAAGCCACTGACTGAAAGCAGCTTCTTTATTAACCAATGACAATAAAACATATTCACAGCATAAATCACCTCGCACATCAAGCATTGATTACAGTTTGATTTTCTTGCCAGATGACAGTTTCAGGATGGGTCCTGATTTACTACTAATCTGTCTGTGCTAGTGTTTTTAAAAGCCATACGAAGATGGACTTGTCTTAAGACCCTGTAATGTAGACTTTAACACCTGCTTCTATTCTGGCCAGGGCCACTGTCCTGTGCAGTGTAGGACATTCAGCAGCACTGGCCTCTACCTGTTGTACCCATAGCACCCTCTCTACCAACACCAATCAAAAGTCTTTAGACCTTGCCAAGTATCCCCTGGGAACTTAAGAGCAAAACTGCCCCCAATGAAAAGCGACTGGAACACGTGGGTAAGCCATGGGCTTGGAGCTGGAGAGATGTAAGCTCTGGTTCTGTCACCGTCTCATGTAAGGAGGGACAATTGTGCTGCTTAGTGTCAAAGCATTGCAGAGGTATGTCAGGGGTAGGAGTCGGGAGGCAGAGGCGGGTGGATCTTTGAGTTCGATGCCAGCCTGGTTTTTAAGTCTGTATCTAATTCTTCCTGTATACTGATTTATTCTTTCCCTCCCTAACAAAGACCATGAGATAGTTAACGCTAGAGTCTATAAATTCTGAAAGACATCATTCTACAGTGCCTGGTAAGCTTGTAGCTGATGTTTATAAAATGTTTAGCTAAAATTCAGGATAGGCAAGATGGCTAATGAGTAAAATCACTTGCCACCAATTGTAGCGATTTGAGTTTATTGCTGAGATCAACAACCTCCAACTTGTCCTCTGACCTCCACACACATGCTGCTTCATATGTGCACACACGTACACACACACACACACACTACATACACACACTACACACATACACACACACTACATACATACACACACACTACATACATACACACACTACACACATACACACACATACTACACACACATACACTACATACATACACGCTACATACACACATAACACACACTACATACACACACTACATACATACACATTTAAACAGTCCTTTAACTCAGATATATTAAGAGTTTGGCTGGCTATCGTACAGGATCACTTGAAGGAAGTGGAGCTGGGAAAGTGCTGTGCACAGGCTACGGCCGTTTTGCTTTTTAAGCTTAAGGATAATTGAATTAAAGTTTAAGAGGAAGCCTTTCTAGGCCAAGCAAGCTGTAATCTCAGCAGCTGCCCAGGGAATAGAAAAGAAACAAAAGCCTGGGCTGAAGCTAAGCTGGCCTAGAGGTCAGCCACGTGGTAGCAGGCAGCCATATGGCGAGAACTGGCACTGTAGAGAAAGCAAAGTTCCAGAAAAAGTATGTCAGGGCTCTGGCCAGCATCGGAAAGAAACAGAAGAGGAAGAAAGATGCTAAGCTCCATGGAGGACTGTGCAGGGCCATGGGCTCTGGGAAGGGAAAGTCAGATGTCATTAAGGAACTAATTATCCTGCCTATCTAGGAGCCAGATTTTAAAAGGTGAATTTACTCTAATTCAATAATTCAGAGCTGGGAAGTGGTGGTACATGCCTTTAATCCCAGCATTTGGGCGGCAGAGGCGGGCAGATATCTGTGAGTTCAAGGCCAGCCTAGTGTCCTAGTCTGTAGAGTCAGTTCCAGGACAAACAGGGCTGTTAAAAGGGAAACCCTGTCTAAAAAAAAAAAAAAAAAAGGAAAGAAAAAAAGAAAAACAAAAGAAAGGAAAAGAGTACTTAATATTTAAAGTAATATTTTAAAACTTAGTTACTAATTCATAACATGAATTCTTGACTAGTAAAAGTCAAGCTATGTAAAAAAAAAATAGAGGAAAACAGAACATCAAAGCAGGATAATTCACTGTACTTAAAAGCTAACAGGCATTATCTAGCCTTTATTGTATACCTCCTTTGTTGGCTACCTTGGTCAACAAGACCTGCTGTGTTACTTTGTAACAGGTTCTGTGCTTGCTACTGGCATTAGATATAACAATGAACAAAATAGTCTCTGCCCAGAAGAACTCCAGTATTCTGTTCTTTTGGTTAGTAACAGGCTTCTCTGTATAGTCCTGCCGTCCTGGAGCTCCTATTTAGATCAAACTGGCCTTGAACTCACAGAAATCCTCCTACCTTTGTCTCCTAAATTACGAATTTAAAGGCATGTGGCATCACACCTGGCTTACAATGTGACATTCTTACATACATAGGAAGAGTGGAAGTGTAATATAGAGAGAGGAAACTAAACCCACAGTGAAGGAGATGGACTGTGAGGAGATCTGAAAGAAGTAGGGGTGTGAGTTACAGCGCTCTGAGAGACAAGTGCTGGGCAGAAGACATAACCAGCACTGAAAGAATATTCAGTGAGATACCTGGGCAGGGAGATGGCTCATAGGCAAAAATACCTGATGACCATGGCCTGGGTTCAATTTCTGGAACCCATGTAAAGGTGGAAGCAAAGGAGATTCCACAGGGTTGTTCCTGGAGCTCCACCTGTGCTCGATGGCGTGTGTCCTCCCCCATCATACACACCGACACACAGAGACACAAAGAGAGTAATAATAATGTATGTATATGTACGAGTGTGTGTGTGTGTGTCTGTCTGTCTGTCTGTCTGTGTGGTATTTGGGGGTTTTTGTTTTTTCAAGACAGAACAAGACAGAATTTCTCTGTAGCTTTGGAGTCTGTCCTGGAACTAGAAGTTAGCTCTTGTAGACTAGGCTGGCCTCAAACTCACAGAGATCCGCCTGCCTCTGCCTCCTGAGTACTGGGATTAAAGGTGTGAGCCACCACTACCCAGCCTAATAATGAATGTTTTTAATGATAATTGAATTCTTAGATTTTGTTCATTAAAATTTGTACTTCATTTTCTACCATATTCTGTTTCTTTTTTTTTTTTTTTTTAATTTTTCGAGACAGGGTTTCTCCGTAGCTTTTGGTTCCTGTCCTGGAACTAGCTCTTGTAGACCAGGCTGGCCTCGAACATTTTCTACCATATTCTAAGCATCAGTTTCATTGAATGAAAAGAGAAAGGTGAATTTTTAAAAACTGACATGACTATAGATGTCTAATGTACTTCAATTCAGACCTTCAGACAGTAAAAGATAGACAGCCGCCTTTCGTCCGAGTCAGTGTATTTGGGTATTTCTATCACAGTGTTGGGAGCCTGTGAAAGCACAGTGTCATGGGTGGCCGACTGGGGAGAACACTCGGGTCTAGGAATGCAAGACCAGCCCGGGGAGCATCTTAAGACCTTGTCTCAAAACAAGAACAACCAAAGCAAATAATTGTCAGAAAGGCACCTTTAATATTTATGCTGCAGCTTGATAAAAACACCCACGTGTCTGACTGATCCAAGCAAAGCTGACGACAATTCCTCTCTGTGAGGGGTCTTCACAGCTTGATAAAGCTCCTTGAATTCCTCTAAGGCTTTGGGGATCGTCACATGCACACACTGCTGTTTGAGAGCATTGGTGGTAGGGATCCTCACACACACATGAGATTTTTCTCTGATGTGTTAGAACCTAGCGTATTAGATGCTGTGTGTATGGTATGTACTAATGACTGAAAGAAAACAGCTGAGATACATTGCTAATTTTGAAAATCTGGTTCTGAGATGAATGCGAATCATTAATTGTAAAGATAAACTTTTGTGTGGGGAGCATTTGACATGTGTTTGAAAAGAGAAGAAAACTGCCTGGCAGTGGTGGTGTGTGTCTTTAATCCCAGCACTCAGGAGGCAGAGGCAGGCAAATTTCTGTGAGTTTGAGTTTACAGAGTGAGTTCGAGGACAGCTAGGGCTACATAGAGAAACCCTGTCTCAAGAAAAAAAGAAAAGAAAAGAAAGTTATGTGTGGGAGAGAATAAAAATGAAGTCACATATCTATCTATCTATCTATCTATCCATCTATCTAGTATAGGTAGGTAGGTAGATAGGTAGATAGATAGATAGATAGATAGATAGATAATGTGACTTCATTTTTCTTCATTCAGATAGATAGATAGAAAGAAACAAAGAATTTTATTTAGAGAATGTCCAAAGAACTGCGAACAGTTTACAGGCATTGATAGTCTGGTCTTCCTTTTGAATCAAGAGAAGCAAATTCTCTGAGGAAGCTAAGTACCTGCTTGTCCTGAGCAAATCAACTATCTTGTCAGAAGTGACGGAACTGTTTAGGTCCTAGGAAGATGTAGTTGCTGGGTGAAAGTGGAGGTCGTTCTGTCTCCCTTGGTGAAAACATTAAAAGCGTTTGAGCCGGTGATGGCTGCTGTGAGCCCAGAGGACAGTGGAGACATGTGAGCCTCGCTGGCCTGGCCTCTGCTCCCTTAGTCAGGCAGCACCAAGAGTTCTCTAGACGACTGTGTCTACTTCGCCATGCTTTGCAGACCGTCATCAAGTCCATGGGCTGGAATCTTGTTGGTCCTGTTGTCCGCTGCCTCCTGAGGAACGGGGAAGAGGATGAAAGGAAGGACTGTCTGCTGGTGTTTGACTTACTAGTGAAGGTGAGTCGGGGAAGACCTGGTTCCATCCATCGGAGCAGCAGCACTGCAGTGCCCTGCATGTCGGGCTTTGTTCAATTACTCTTCTGCAATGCCCAGGTGCTTGGCTGGACGGGTGGGCAGTTCCATCTCGCATTTTCCAAAGTTTCCAGATGTAAGAATTATCCAGTCTGAGACCCTGTAAAGGGCTATAAGCCTCTAATTTAACACGTGTTCTCATTATACAGACGAAGTGAGTGTTGTTGAACCGGTTTGCTGCCATGCTGACCCTTGTGCACATTAGACCCAGAATCAGATTTTAGTGTCGCTTGAGACATGCAAGCTGAAAGGATTATAAGGGGTGTGAGGGAAGGGAGTGGGGAGGATGGAGGAGTGTGGGGATCAACAATAGAGTTTGTTTGAAAATCCCGTGAAGAAACCTAATGTGGAAACTAGAGACTGGAGGCGCACACACAAGTGATTGTTAGGGAAGAGACACTTCCTTCAGACAGTGTGGGTGTTGGTTCTGAGGATTCTCAAAAGCAAGGCGGTGAGGTGGCTGTCAGGGTGCACCACAAATCTGTTCAGAAAGAACCAAAGGGGGCCCTTCGTCTACAGCAGCCAACAGGAGGCACGGTCTCTGAAGATCCTTTTAACAATTTCTAGGGCATAAGCAAATGTAACTGTATTTTTCAGTATGTCTTCTTTAAAATGGTAATCATGTGGCTTTAAATACAACTTGTATTAAACAGGTTCAATTGTGAATATTTTTATAGTTATGTAACCCAAAGGAATTGTTGTTGGGTTTGCTTGAACTCATTGAAGAGCCCTCTGGAAAACAGATTTCCCAAACTATTCTTCTTTTACTTCAACCACTACAGACAGGTAATGAGAATTTGATATCCAAGTATTTCTTATTGTATTTGCATATGTAGCTTGATGTTTGCCCCTAAATGTGGACAGTCACTGCCCTGCCCCTAGGCTACTCCAGCAGAGCCATGGGAACGCTGCGAGGTGCCTGGAAGGTGCTACGCAGTCAGTACTTTGACAACTCATTAGTTAGCTTTCATTTTTTAATTAAAAAATTTTTTACATGTATGAGTGTTTTGTCTGAATGCATATCTGCACACTACTTGCGTGCCTGGTGTCCTTTAAGGCCAGAAATGGGTATCACTTCCTTTGAACTGGAGTTAGAGTGGCTTGTGAGCCTCCACATGGGTGCTGGGAACGGAACCCAGGTCCTCTAGAAAAGCAGCCAGTGCTCTTAACCACTAAGCCATCTCTCTAGGTCCCTGGCTAGATCTCTTCTGCACAGTTTATAGTTAGGATTTTCCCTCTAAGCATATTTAGTGGTCAGCTGTGACCTGTAGCATGCAATCTGGAATAGCAGCAGGGTGTTGCACAGTTTCTGGTTTGGGAGGTTGGAGTGGAAAGGTCTGTCTAGAGAGTGAAACGAGGCATGGAGAACGAGAAAGCTTTGTGGCTTAGTATTGGCAAATAATATGCCTCAGCAGTCAAGACAAACACTTTTCCATGAAAGAAGTTATTTCCATTTTAGAAATCATATACACTTCAGAATGTGATAGGGACCTGGACATTAGAATAAATTCATTTAAATCTGAATGTCAACCAACCTTATACTTCTCAAATATTCAAAATCTTCTAAGGGCACAAAAAGCTCTGTAATACTTTTATCCATTTTATAGTGCTATGTAATTTTCCATTCATATTTTGTGCTTATAATCAAAAGTAAGAAAAAAATAACCAGTTATAGAAACACTTTATTAGTTGATTTTCTTAATGCTGTGTCCAAGTGCCTGGCACCTGGCAGTCTGAGGAAGAACTGTTGATGTAGGTTAGGGATGCAGTGGGGGACATGGTGGATACAGTCCATCGCGGTGGTGGCAGGAGAGGAAGAATGTTGGTCTGGCTAGGGGTACAGTCTGTCATGGTGGGGAGGCACGGTGGCAGTAGTGAGAAGTGCCTGGTCATAGCGAGAGAGTGGTGAGCTCAGGCCACACCATCTCACAGCCTGCCTCCAGTGATACTTCTCTCAGCAAGGCTCTGCCTGCTAAAGATCCAGAACCTTCTAAATGCTGACTTCCTCTTGTCCTGTGTGCAGCTGCTTACGCTTGTTTCTGTTGCAGTTATTCAGAAGCTCCCCAACAAGGTGTACTCAGTTGGATTGGCATTATCCACTCTTTGGAGTCAACTGTCTCTTCTTCCTGTGCCGTACTCTAAGGAACAAATACAGACAGATGATTATGGCCTTTGTCAGTGCTGCAAGGCCTTAACAGAGTTCATGAGACCTTTTGTGGAAGAAGCGACTGATAACAAAGAAAACAAGGAAAATGAAAAGTTAAAAGATGAATTACTAAAATTGTAAGTCTGTTTTGAAAGACATCTCACAGTGGAGTGAGTAATTGGTAGCTCAGTTACCCTGCGTTTCTTATTGGTACATAGAAATCTTGTTTTGGATTTTGAATTTCAGACAGACATAATGTTGACCTGGTGAATCGTGGATGTGCAGGGAGGCACTGACAATATAAAATCAAACCTTTATCGTGGATGTGCAGGGAGGCACTGACAGTATAAAATCAAACCTTTATCGTGGATGTGCAGGGAGGCACTGACAGTATAAAATCAAACCTTTCACTTCATTTACTTTCACCCATCACAGCCAGCAATGCTGAAAGTGGGAGCAGTAAGGGTATTTAACTCAGGGGGTTGATTCTGTCTGGGGAATGCATCTGAAAGTGGGAGCAGTAAGGGTATTTAACTCAGGGAGTTTGTTCTGTCTGGGGAATGCATCTGAAAGCAGCAGAGGACCACCAGACAGTTGAGCATTTATCCCGACCTCAGATTCAGCCACGTGCTCACCATGGGTTCTGACTAAACAGCGTCCATTAGTTGGCATAGGGTGGTCCAAATGAGGGCGTGCCATCAGCATAGAATCGCCTCCAGACTTGAAGACGGGCAGTTATACAAGGGGAGACAGACCTGGATAAGGTGGTGCTCACCTGTCATTCCAGCCCTCAGGAGCTGAGGCAGGAGGATGGCGAGATGAAAGCCAGAGCTGCAGTTACAGAATAACCTGTCTCAAAAAAAAAAAAAAATCAAAACAAACCCTCCAAAACAAATAACCGACACCATAAGAAGAAAGAAAACGCAATAAAATTCCTAAGTAATCTTTGCATGCTTGTGACCTATCAAAATATTTTCATTAGATTGGGCTAGTTGGGAAAATTATTTCTCACAACTTTTCTCATGTGACTCCGCTAAGAAATCTTAAATTGTAAATTATACATGGAACTTGTATTTAAACATATCTTGGACATATCTTTTTCTACTTCGGGAAATTAATGCTATTGTTAAATCTTAAATTGTAAATTATACATGGAATTTGTATTTAAAAATATCTTGGACATATCTTTTCTAGTTTGGAAAATTACTGTCATTGTTACTTTTCTATTTTGCAGGATTAGGGCATTTAAGGTTGGTTTTTATGAGGCAATTTGTTTGTCGTTTAAGAAACTTTTTTTTTTAAACTTTTCTTTTTTTATATATATTTTTTATTTATTTATTATGTATACAGTGTTCTATCTGTGTGTATGCCTGCAGGCCAGAAGAGGGCACCACACCCCATTACGGATGGTTGTGAGCCACCATGTGGTTGCTGGGAATTGAACTTAGGACCTTTGGAAGAGCAGGCAATGCTCTTAACCACTGAGCCATCTCTCCAGCCCAAGAAACTTTTTTTTTAAGGCTGTTTTAAAGAACTAGAAAAGACTTAGTCACAGAATAAAGTTGGATTAAAAATAAAGTAACTGGGCAATAGTGGCTTACACCTTTCATCCCAGCATTTGGGAGAGAGGCAGGTGGATCTCTGAGAAACGGAATTGAATCTCAGCATATGGAGCCTACTCAGGCATTCTTGTGTTTTCCCCATTACTGTTACTAATGAGATTGGATTCATGCTTTTTTTAGAGAGGTCTATTTTTATTTCATTAGATTTATTTATTTATTATGTACAACATTATGCCTGCAGGCCAGAAGAGGGCACCAGGTCTCATTACAGGTGATTGTGAGCCATCAAGTGGTTGCTGAGAATTGAACTCAGGACCTTTGGAAAAGTAGCCAGTGCTCTTAACCTCTAAGCCATCTCTCCAGCCCAGGATTCATGTTTTAGACACATTATTATTGGTGCTTGCCTTAGGCCATTTGTGCTACTAAAATAAAACATGAGTTGATTTATAATAAAATAGTAGCACAATTCTAGACTAGGAAGTTTAACATGGGGTGCTAGGACCTAGTGGAAGAGTAGCGGATTCCAGCAAGCTGAGCTCCTCTTCTGAAAACAGCACAGTCCTTCCCCTGAGAGTGAGCCCTCGGACTGGTCACCTTTCAGAGGTCCCACTTGTTAATACTGTGACAATGACAATGATTTTCGCCTAAGTAAGTCAAGCAGTGCATATCTTTCATGTAAAGCTAGACCTGAATGCTGTGTTTGAGATACTGACCCATAATTACCTATTTCTTATGCCTTAGCTGTTGCAAGTGCTTGAAGTGCCCTTTGCTGACAGCGCAATTCCTTGAACAGTCTGAAGAAGTTGGAAAGGACCCTTTTTGGAGTTTTGCATCTGAAATAATAGTAAGTACAGCCAGTCAAATCTGCTATAATACTTGCTGTAATCTTAAATTTTATCCTTCTATATTCTGATCTATTTCATATGAGCATGTAAATTGATAATTTACTAATAGGGTAATGTGTAACTTTTTTAGAACACAGATAAACAAGATGGCAATTAAATAGTAACTCGTTATCCAAAGCCTTGCAAATGTTTCTACTTAGTATGTTCATAAATAGGAAAATATATATATATATATATATATATATATATACACATACATATAAGGTCTTGAATGGTTATATCATATATACACCTGTGTATTTTTCCTCTTAACATTATAATATAAATCATTGCTATTGATTTAGTAGTATTTTTTTAAAATTGTGTGTGTGTGTTTGCCTGAATGTGTCTGTGTGGAAGCCAGACGAGGTTTTGGTTGTTAGCCAGCACGTGGGTGCCAGGAGTTGAGCTGGATCCTTTAGAAGAGCACCCAGGCCCCATCTCAGTGTAGCGTTGAGGTCTCCAGAACATGGCTGTCCCCTGAAGGTCTGCACTTGTGAAGCCTGCCCCTCTCATCTTCTGCCCTGTTACTGCCCAGCATCCACCGCTCTCTCTGAAGCACTTATATTTTTTTCATGTTGAAATGGTTCCTGTCTTTCTCTCTTTTTATTTTTAGTTTTTTTGGAGACAGGGTCTCACTACATAACTCTGGCTGTACTAGAACTCTTCCCGTAGATCAAGCTGGTCTTGAACTCAGAGATCCACCTGTCTCTGTCTCCGAGTGCTAGGATTAAAGGCGCATGCCACCATGTCCAGCTTCATTTGTGTTGTAAAGTTACTCATTTTATTTTATTACAAAGTATATGACTTTTTTATGTGCACCACAGGTGTACAACAGCCAAGGAGGCCAGAAGAGAGTATTGGATCTCTTGGAATTATGAATGGTTGCAAGCTGCAGGAGCAGCCAGTGCTCCTCACTGCTAAGCTATCCCTCCAGCCCCCTGCAGTAGTTTGCTCTAGCTCACGCTAAAGCCCTCTGTCTAGCAATCAGATAGTCTGGCTGTCAACAAAACTCATTTGTGTGGATACTTTATTAATTTTAGTCTCAAAATTTATTTTGATGTTTCAAAATAAATATGTAAATAAGTAAATAAAACAAAGCAAAAAAAGCAGTCTGAATGTCAGTCCCATCAGGGCAATCTTTTGAATAACTCAGAACCAACTGATCTGAGACCAGCAGACTTCCTCCCTGTCTTAGTCAGTGTTCTACTGCTGTGAAGAGACACCACGGCAGTGCTTAGGGAAGAAGGCATTTACTGGGGCTTGCTTACAGTTTTAGAGGTTCAGTACATTATCCTCATTGTGGGGAGCACGGCAACATGCAGGCAGACACGGTGCTGGGAAAACGGCTGAGAGTTTAGACATACGGACATTTAGACATACGGACAGCAGGAAGAGAGAGACACTGCTAGACCTGCTTTGGGGTTTGGAAACCTCAAAGCCCACCTCCACTGACACACTCTCTCCAGTAAGGCCACAGCTTCTTAAATAAGGCCACGCTTCCTATTCCTTCTCAGGCAGTGCCACTCCTTGGTGACTAAGCATTTAAATATATGAACCTATGGGGCATTCATATTCAAACCTCCACACTCACTTAAGTACCATCAGTGTCTGAGGCAGTCTAATCGTGGGACTGATTATTAAAGCAAGTATCTCAATTCTATACACCTTCAAAAAGATAAGGGATTATACAGAATGTGGATATAGAATAAGGGGTGATAGTATAGTTAATTTGCCAATAGCTTACTTTTTTAAAAACCTATTTCACAGGGATTTTTATCAGAAATTGGACACCCTGTCCCCCAAATTATTCTTAATCATGGAAGGAAAAAAAGGACATGGGGTTGCCTTGAGTTGGAGGAAGAAGAAGACAGACAGTTGGCAGACTCTGTGGCCTCTCTGACATACCTAGTGTTTGTTCAGGGCATCGGTATTGATCAGCTTCCAATGGTCTTAAGGTAAGAGTCAATATCAAACTCTTGATTGACTTAGTATCCTTTACATGTATGCTAACACACTGTACATGGAAAGAGGCATATTAGAGATACCTGGAGGTTTTGGGTGTCTCCAGCAGTAGAGAAAAGACAAGTTAGTGTGTGGCTTCCAGGGAGATGTGGGGGGCATAAAAGGCATGGAGACAGACAGGTGAAACACAGCCATACTGAAATTGGGGTTATAAAGGAAACAGAACCCCCCCCCCCCAACGTTGAGTGCTAGGTGAAATGCCTGGGATGGGGAGACTCCCCCAGTGGAGCTGTAAGAGAGAAGAGTGGGGCCTTGTGAGCCCCACAGGCACAGGCTACAGCATTCTGTGTCTGGAGGTCTGTGAGCTACACAGCACACAGCCAGAGAAGGGGGCGAGAGGCCTCCTACCTTGCTCACTGGTAGGGGACCTTGAGCGATCTTGTTGGCAGACTTCTCAGCTGGGGGAAGCAGAAGACCCAGAATTACTAAACCTCTAGTGATAAAGGCTTGCCCTCTCTGCTGACTAAGGGAACAACCACTCTGTGTAGTAGGAAGCCGCTTGTTTTTGCTTCTTCTTCTTCTTCTTTTTTTAAAGATTTATTTATTTATTGTGTATACAGCGTTCTGCCTACGTTCATGCTTGCAGGCCAGAAGAGGGCACCAGATCTCATTACAGATGGTTGTGAGCCACCATGGGGTTGCTGGGAATTGAACTCAGGACCTTTAGATGAGCAGGCAGTACTCTTAACCACTGAGCCAAATAATATGTGTATAAATTTCTGTGTGTGTGTGAGAGAGAGATGTTTGGGCTGTGATTGGAGGTCAGTGCTGAGGTCTTATCTGGCATGTGGTCTCTTGTGGGTTTGTCTATCAGTGGTTAGGACAGGAAATTGCCTATTCTAAACATCTTTTTTTATTCTTTTACATTTTAGCCCATTGCACCTTTTGCAGCTGAACATGGAACACATCGAAGTACTTCTGCAAAGGTAAAATGAAATCTCAGGATCGGATGGCATCACTGAACAGTTTTGGGAGGCAGGAACAGGGTTCAAGTTCTTCCTTAGCAACATGCAGTGCTGAGGCCAGGGCGTGCGGCCCCAGACCTTGTATTTCAGTGTTCATTTGCTTCTCCTAAAGTAAGGAACCATTCTAAAAAAACTAGAAAACCATAATGATAACTTTCAATGTTTTCTTTCAGAACAGAACAGTCTATTTTCTCAAAAGGATTGGTAAGATTCATTTGCTACCGTGTGTGTGTGTGTGTGTGTGTGTGTGTGTGTGTGTGTACGCATGTACATGCATTTGTGGAGGTCAGAGGACAACCTGCAGGAGCCAGTTCTCTCCATTGTATGTGTTCTGGGGACTCAGGTCATCAGGCTTGGGTAAACCCTTTCCAGCCGGTCTGCTAGCATTATAAATATTATAAATATTAAAAATAATGCAACTGTCAACGTCACCTTGAATGTATGTGTGTATTTCATCTGTAGGAACTTCTGGAGAATAGCTTACTGAGATTAGAAGACAACAGCCTACTCCATCGGTACTTAGAAATCAAAAGTTTTCTCGCTGTGCCTCAGGTAAGCAGAATATATATTCTGCTCTAAAACAGCTCCCTGCCTGTTCTGAACTCTGCCAAGGTAACGTATGCCTGCAGTTCCTTTCCTTCTCAGCCTCTGCGTGTGCTGCTGTTGCTTCCGGTTGAGTTTTTGTGCTGATGGAAATGGTTTGCCATCTGTGCCAAAAGCCAGACTATATGGCTAGCAAGACTACCAAACTGAGTTTTAAATTTTGATTAATTTATACTTTAAAATAATTTTATTCTTTTTGAGTTTCCCCCAGCTCCTAGAATTAACCTAAACAGCTATTGGCGGCCTTCTCCTGGCTTGTGCTCCCCCTGTCCGTCTCCGCCCGTGGAGTGCATGCCTGTGATCTTTGTTCCCTCTGAGTGTAGAAAATTCTTAGTATTTAAATAGAAAAGAATGTCTTTTGCTCCTACATAAGCTTGGTTACATTTAGTGAGTGTGCTACACTTCTGCATGTTTGATTGCCTTTTCTTGCTCTTCTATACATAACTGAAAATCACCATTGCCTTTGAAACCGCACCAAGTCATACCTCACTTTGTCCTGTGTGCAGAGCTGACTGCAGTTAGTTTGCCATAGATGTAGCCGTGAGGCCAGGGGAGCTCATCTCCTTAGCCCAGGTGTTTCCTTTAACTTCCATTGTGGTCAAAAGCATATATGAATTTGAAATGTTTTTTCTTTATTTCTAGGGCTTAGTCAAAGTCATGACACTTTGCCCCGTTGAGACATTGGTATGTATGATTGGAGACTAGCTATGAGTCACAGTGAGAAATGTTAATAAATAACTAGAAATACTATCATTCGTTTCATTCCAGAGGAAAAAGGGCTTGGCTTTGCTCCAGCTGTACATCGACAAGTTGGATTCACAAGGCAAACACACATTATTTAGGTATGTCTCAAGGCAAACACACATTATTTAGGTATGTCTCAAGGCAAACACACATTATTTAGGTATGTCTCAAGGCAAACACACTATTTAGGTATGTATGTATCAAGCTGGTGAACTAGGCACTTCTCTTGCCCTGACAAAGTAATTGAGACAACAACTTAGGAAGAAAGGTTTGTTTGGGTTCAGTGTGTCGTCTGTGGCCTGTGGTAAGACAGAGCTCATGGAGGAGGTGTCTGGAGGCCATGATGGAGCAGAGCTGGTCACCTCACAGGAAGGGCCAAGGACAAGCCATCCTGTCAGGCCTGCCTCCTGCCCCCACCTCTCAGCAGGACCGTTCTGTTAGGACTCACTTGGCGGGTTGATCTGCTGGTTGACTTGAGCCCTCCCAGCTAATCAGTCAGTTCACAGAAGTCTGTCGGCTGCACCCAGTCTTTAACACATGAGCTTTTAAGAGACATTTTTAAAACATAGCCCATGGATAATAACCTAGTGTGTGACTGATTGAAACCTACTAATGCCATGTAATTATTTATTTATTTATTTATTTTGTTTTTTGTTTTTCGAGACAGGGTTTCTCTGTGGTTTTGGAGCCTGTCCTGGAACTAGCTCTTGTAGACCAGGCTGGTCTCGAACTCACAGAGATCCGCCTGCCTCTGCCTCCCGAGTGCTGGGATTAAAGGCGTGCGCCACCACCGCCCGGCCCATGTAATTATTTAAAGGTACAATATTTGTACAATATAGTTCAGTATCTGTAAGAGCTAAAGAATCAGCTTATCAAGTATTTTGGAAACATATAATGTCTATTATATGAATAGCAGTGTATAATTTTTAGTTTAATTGAAATATTGTAAACTTACTCTAAGAGAGACAAACATGGATCTGAATAGGAAGGAGAAAAAGACAAGATCTCCTGAGTAAACTGGGAGTGTGGGAGTCATGGGGGACGACAGAAAGGGAAAGGGGAGGAAAAGAGGCGAGAAAAATGTATAGTGCAATAAAAACAATTAAAAAAAAAAAACTCCAAGCAGCCTTAAAAGAATAACAGAGATTGATAATGCTCCTGCTAGAACCTTAGAGTTCAATGGTCTCCATTGTTTATAACTGAACTGAGGGTGCCACAGAGATCTGTAACTTTGACAGGCCAGTCAGTCCGTTACTCTGAGATCTTACCAGTAGAGTTTTTAGTAGAGTTTTAGGCACTAAGTTAAACGTTAGAAAACTCTGTAATAAATAGAGGCTTTCTAAGGCCATCGCACAGTGTACGGGAGATTCCACCCCTCTTCCACCAGGAGGTGGTGTACTCCAACAACACTGACGGTAGCCTACCATCTTAGCCCACTTCACCCTGGGCTGGGTACTAACAATGAGGTGCAAACTGATTGAAGCAATGTCGGGATGCAGGGAGTGTAGAGTCCTAGCATCCCAGGGCCTGTCCTAGTCCTCTGACAACAGAGTCGGGCCCAGCTCACACAGCCTCAGCCCTTAGATCTTATACCAGGTTTCTCACTTTGTCCTGCCGTACTCTGCCAAGAGACCCCTTTCTCATAGTAGCCTCCCATTACAGGTTCAGGGCCTCAGTCTGTGCAGTTGGCTCTGTTGCTTTAGGGCAGCAGAAGGACCACCTCACCTCGTCGTGGCCAGGAGCACAGGCCCAGCTGGGTAGAAAGGGTTAGAGTCCCCGTCCCTTCTTGAAGCACATGCCCCTAGGGACCTAGTTTCCTTTCATGAGGCCCCATTTCCTAAAGATGCCACCACCACTGAGTGAGAACCAGCACATGAGCCTTTGGGGACACTGGAGACCTAAGCCATTAGCAGTGCCGTCAGGTTTCCCGCAGCGAATAAGCCAGCAGCAGCCTACTTTCACAGGGAGCACTCTGTGCTTTGAGGTTGTACCCGTGCTCACTCTTGGCATGTTAAATTATATGCACGGTTTAATAGAAATTTGTTGTTTGAGGGCTGAGGAGGTGGCCCAGTGGTAAGAACACTTCTCACAAGCGTGGGGGCCTGTGTTCAGATCTCCAGAATCAACACAAAAACTGGGCAGACAGCCAGGCAGTGGTGCACTTGGGAGGCGGAGACAGGAGGGTCTTTGACCAGCCTGGTTTTCAAAGTGAGTTCCAGGAAAGCCAGGGCTGCGCAGAGAAACCATGTTGGGGGAGGGGGGGCGGAGCATGTAACAATAACAAAAACTGATCATGACTGTATGTGCCTTTAATTCCAGTGCTGGGTGGGAGGTTAGAGGATTGCTGGGGCTTGCTGTGCCAGCCTAGCTTTAGGTTCAGTCAGAGACCCTGTCTCGAAAAGGAGACGGATAGAACAGGACACTCACCCTTCTCTGGCCTACGTGTGCATACGCGCACACACACACCAGCTGACAGAACAACACACCCATTCTCTGAACTATGCACATGTGTACACACACACTAAAAAGTTGTTTTAAAGACCCAGTTGTACATGAGATTTACCAGGCAGTGAAAGCAAAAGCTATTAGGATAACTTCACAGGTCACTGGCCACGCTGATAATTGTCCCCACTGTGAAGTTTATAATCAGAAGTTACGTGAGGCCCAATTGAATTGTAAACTTTTTTGTCACTATTATATTGCAATTTAATATAATTTCATGTGTTATAATTATGCTTTAAAGGTGCTTATTAAATACAAGTAATCACTCCGGTGTGGAAGGCTTCGTAATTCAAAATATCAAAAATCAGATTGATGCATCATTTAAGGTAAGAATACAGACCGAGGTAAGGGTTAGTTACCAGTTTATTCATGTGTGGCATATGTCCGTGTTGGTTTACCCACAGGATTTTTCTGTCTGTAATATTAAAGTATAATCCCCTGTTTAAAAAGAAAACACCGCTCCTGCCCCCCTGAATTTCGTTAACTATAAACTTAAACTGTATTACTTCTTTTGGCTGATAATATAAGTTGTGCTGTATACTTCAGAAAAATACAAATTTGAGTCTCATCTGTATGTGGCCATGCATAACCCCACATAGAAAAAGATCCCCAGGGTTCTCAGGCTGGCAAGACCTTCACTAGGTCTGGAATGGCACATAGAAATGAGAGTTAGAGAATCTGTAACAATATGCAACATTTATCATGCTATTACATGAACTTTTCATAATCTTTCTTTTGCTTTTCAGAAAACATCTAACAAATGGTTTGCAGGCCCTCAACTGATTTCGCTGTTGGACTTGGTACTGTTCCTCCCCGAGGGTGCTGAAACAGACTTACTGCAGAACTCAGATAGGTGAGGTGACCATACCAGGATTCTGAGAGTAAAATTCCTAAACTAAGAAAATATTTCCTGTGATTTTAGAATCTGTAATTAGTTCATAAAAGTATGTAAGCCTTTCCTATTTAAGTTACTCAGTGACTTAGATAGAAACAAAACCTCTTCTTTCCAGGACAGTGACTGATTTTCTTTTTTTTAAAGATTGATTTATTTATTATGTATACAGTTTTCTGCCTACATATATCCTATAGGCCAGTAAAGGGCATCAGATCTCATTACAGATGGTTGTGAGCCACCATGTGGTTGCTGGGAATTGAACTCAGGACCTCTGGTAGAGCAGTCAGTGCTCTTAACCTCTGAGCCACCTCTGCAGCCCAAGTGACTGATTTTCTATCTCAGCATTACACAGAGATTTGAAACCACAGCATTTCTGACTAAAATTTAAGAATCTTACAAAAACAGTGCATAAAGGGATTAAGTATTTGGACTTTGTTTTTCAGGTCTATTTTTTTCCCAGGTAGAGTATAAACTTTCACTTTTGGTGTATTAGAATGGATGTGGAGAAGAAATGATCTTGAGGACGGCCGGGCTGTCTCTGGGTGAAGGGGAAATAATGCTCACCTAGTCTTGTGAGCTCACATCAGGACAGCGATGAGCTGCTGCCACTCCACAGATGGGTGGGGATAGTGTCCAAGGGCAGCTGTGTTGACAGCGGTATTTCCAAGCTTTTAACTTGCTTTATATATTTCAGCTGTTGATTACATAAATCTCTACTGAAGATAACAAGTTATTTTTTAATTAACAGGATTATGGCTTCATTAAATTTATTGAGGTATTTGGTTATCAAAGATAATGAAAATGACAATCAAGTAAGTGAATTATTTGGGAAAGAACCTGTGAGTATATTAAGAATGCATGAGCTGTTCTTACCACTGTCCTAAGCCCACCTTTATTATTCTTACCCAGCTGTGAAACTTGGGTACCAATTCTGACACCTCCTGTCGGCTCCCAGGCACACTTGGCTTCTCACATCTAACCTGTTTTTCCTGCTCTGTCTCTGCTCTTTTCAGGAAGTCTTGCTAGGCCCTTGTTTTAGTTAGAGTTTCTGTTGCTGTGAAGAGACACCATGACCACAGCAACTCTTATAAAGGAAAACATTTAATGGGGTGGCTTACAGTTCAGAGGTTTAATTCATTATCATGGAGGGGACATGGCAGCATGCAGGCAGACATGGTGCTGGAGAAAGAGCTGAGAGTTTTACTTCTTGCAGGCAACAGGAAGTGAACTGAAATGCTGGGTGTGGCTTGAGCATATATGAGATCTCAAAGCCCGCCTCTACAGTGACACACTTCCTCCAACAAAGCCACACCTCCCAATGTGCCCCCTCCCCCAATGAGCTTATGGGGGCCAATTACAGTCAAACCGCCACAGCCCAGCTGGTCACCTGTTAACTGGCCTTGTGGAGCGCCACAACACATGAAACTCCTTGCTCAGTCTCTTCTGCTTGTATATAGCTCAGGATTTTAATCAGTTATATGAAATAAAATTATCCTAAATCACCTCATCAGACATGACAAACTGAAGCATATTTAGCCCCAAAACTGAGATGTTAATAGTGCTTTTGAATGGTGTGTAGGAAGTTGGATCTTTTTTAATAGCACTTCATTAGAAGTGTTCAATAAATAGAAAGCTACTTGAGGGAGATTTGTCATGCAGTAAAATCACATTTACTTTTAGGCTCCTTCCTGCCTACTCCGTTCTAATAACTGCTCTCCTGTTACCTGTAACCACATGAGTCACGCCAGTCTGGACTTTTTTAACATGATAGGCAGAATGAAAGTAATTAAGTTTCACATGAAAGTGCAACGGTTTTTATTACTCGGATAAGTCACACCTGGGGATGAGAAGTCCAAGGAGCAACAGGACCTTGAGTGGACCTAGCAGACTCGACAATGGGCTTCGTCTACACTAGGTGATTGTTTTATTGTGAAAAACGTTGAAATGTCCAGAAGCGATGAGAGACCTTTACAGCAGCCGTTCAAGACAGGGTATCTCAGTGTAGCCTTGGCTGCTCTGGAACCAGCTCTGTAGACCAGGCTGGCCTGGAGCTCTCAGACTCCCACCCATCTCCCTCCCTAGTTGGGAGTAAAGGTGTGTGCCACCACTGCCCAGCTCTCATTGTTGTAATTTTTGGTGTATTTCAACATTAACTGTAGCTATCAATATATTTTGTCCCAAATATTTCAGCATATATTTCATTAGGCAGAGTTAAATATATGTCAGCATTTTTCTTGAAAGTAAAATTTACATAGATGAAGTGCACAGACATGTATATCAAATTTACCATCACCACAGACGTTCCCATATGTCCTTCTCACTGGCCACCCATTCACTGACAGAGGCGACCGCTGTCCTGGCCAGGTGCTGTGTGCCATTCTTCACAATGCTGGAAGAAAAGTGCTCTTTGTTTCCCTTCTCATCAATCCTTCTCTCTCAGGAAAGGTCAATCATTGGCTCAAATGTGGATGTCTAGAAAATGATACAAGTTAGCTATGACTCCTTGTAGAACTTTTGAAATTAAACTTAACCCTTGCCTCCTAAAGGGGCTATGGCAAAAACAAACAAACAAAAAAGTACAATATAAATTAAGCAGCCCTGGGCCTTGGACCTCAGCAGGTGTCCTTAGGGAAGCTGTGAGTTTAGCATTGCCGTAGTCAGGAAGGCTGAACATACACAAGAGATGATGGGATTTGCTTGACACAGGGATTCTCACTGACTAGGAAGGACAGATGTACTTTCTATAGAGTCTCTGCTGTCTATCCTGACAGCCATAGGTAATGCCTTGCTACATCTTAGTGTGAACATTTTATAACGAAAGAAAGAATATGACTGAGAGGGCTGGCTTATTAATGGTTTCTTTTTCCCTAGGAACCAAATACTGGTTTTGTTTGTTGATTGGGTTTTGTTTTTTATCTGTATGCCACTATAAGCATTTCCATACCAGGGAATTATTAGTAGAAGTCCTCTTCTCACTTGCCACATTGGTGCCTTATACGCTTTCTAGCCTGTCTGTAATGGAAACATTCCTAACAGTTACAAGGAAAAGCAAATTTAGCCACTGTGGTTAGCAAGTAACTGACAGCTCCGTCCAGGTGTGACGTCTCTGCGCGGTGGCACTGACAGGGACGACTGAGGAAGGATCACAAGTTCCAGGCCAGCCTGAAGTGCAGAGCGGGGCCCTGTCTAAAGCAAAAGTGCGGCTTCTGGCTGCTTATAGTGACTGTGCTACTGTGGTGATGTGGGGTTGTGCCTTTTTACTTGGAGGAACCCCTACTAGTTCCAGTTTTTCATTTAGTTGTGCTAAGTGATGAAAACTAAAAGGCCTGAAGGGCACCCGGGGAGAGACAGAATCCCTTCCAATATAAAGTGATTCACCAGGAGTGATAATCTCTCTTTTCTGACCAACCTGAGTTGGAGCCAACCTCCACTTTCCTACATCCTCCTCGCCCAGTGTCCTCCCACTCTGGGATCCCTGCGCGTTTTCAGCGCTTTCTCCCACACTTAGTTTCCTGTCATTTTTAGACTCTTATAGACGAATAGTTCCCGTCTCTAATTTTTATAGCTCACGTTCTCTACTGTTGGGTTTCTTCAGATAGTGGTTACTTGTTTTGAATTGCAAGATCATTCTAAAATAGAGCCATAGTTGTGCTGTTGCTTAACTTCTGTCCTCTTCACTCAAATCCTTTCTAATGTCTGTTATTCAAAATTAAAATGTGCCAGGAGTGGTGTTGTAGCTCAGTGGCAGAATAACTGCCTGTTGTGAGGTCCTGGGTTCAGTCCTTAGCACCGCAGTGAAAAAGCGAGATGAGATGAAACATCCCTGGTGTGTGCTCTGCGCGAGGGGGGGGGGGGCATCCCCAGTGCATGCTCTGCGTGGTGAAACATCCCCGGTGCGTGCTCTGTGGAACCAAACATCCCCAGTGCGTGCTCTGCGGGGGGTGGGGGGACACACATCCCACATCCTGGTGCGTGCTGGGGGGGGGGGGGTGGCATCCCCAGTGGGTGCTCTGGGCGGGGGTGGGGGGGTTGGGCACACATCCCCTGTGCGTGCTCTGTGGAACCAAACATCCCCCAGTGCATGCTCTCCGGGGGTGGGGGGACGACATCCCCAGTGCGCTCTTGGGGGGGCATCCCCAGTGTGTTCTCTGCGGGTAGGGGGGTGGGGAGCGTCCCCAGTGCATGTTCTGCGGGACCAAACATCCCCAGTGCGTGCTCCATTTCTTCTTTTATTATGGTTGACTCTGTCTTTGCAAGATTCCTACCTGTTTCAGAACCTACCTCACTGTGCTGTAAAAAATGTCTAGTGGGGTTGGGTAGGCTTCAGTGAATTGTTTGTTTGTTTTCTAGACTGGGTTTCTCTGTTGCTTTGGAAGCTGTCCTAGAACTAGCTCTTGTAGACCAGGCTGGCCTCGAACTCACAGAGATCCGCCTGCCTCTGCCTCCCGAGTGCTGGGATTAAAGGCCTGCGCCACCATCACCCAGCTGCAGTGAAGTTTTAATGCATAGCTAAGACAGAACTCAAAAGGTTTCAAAACTCTTAAGTCAGTGACTTGGATATGAAATGAAAGGCAGGCAATCGTGAGGATTTCAAAAGTTCAATCCTTATAAACACTGTAAAAATCTTGCTACTTTTTTAAGATGAAAGAAATCTTAAGCTTTCTTCTTTTGTGTTTTAAAAATTAAAAAAGGTGTGGTCAGCACTCGGGAGGCAGAGGCAGGCGGATCTCTGTGAGTTTGAGACCAGCCTGGTCTACAAGAGCTAGTTCCAGGACAGGCTCCAAAACCACAGAGAAACCCTGTCTCGAAAAACCAAAAAAAAAAAAAAAAAGATGTGGTAACTTTCCTGTAAGACAGAGTATATTTTCACCTCCATAGCGTCTTTCCGCCTACACGCTTCCAAAAGCAGTACAGTTCACTACAGGAAAGATGGAATTATGCTAAACAGCATGCAAAAGAAATTCTCTTTAGCCTAATTTTGAAGAGTGTTTTTATTAGTTAATGTTTTAATGTTATGGATTACAAATTAAAATAATGCCCTTAGCTTGATGCCATGGCTCATGCCTGTAATTAATGCCCTTGGGAGGTGAGGTTGCCACATTTTTCTTTAAGTCAGAATGAAGTTATGCAATATAAAGTGGCTTCAGTATTTATTCAAGAAAAAAATGTTTATGTAGTTTTCTATTATGTGGATATACCACAACTTACCATTTTCCTGCTAGGAAACATATTCTTGCACTCTCCTTCATTGGACATTGATTTAAAGGGACCTCTGCAATCTAATCATCATAAAATGCACCCTTGTTTGTTTACCGAGTCCATAGATGTTGAATGCACTGATAGGTATTAAATCTGAATCCCTATCTAGTTTCTCTTTAGACGTCTGCATTTCCCAGCAGAAGGTGGATTTTTTGAAAGTCTTTTTACTAGCATATATTATTTGGCCAAATAATGCATTTCATTATGACACTTTCACAGGTGCACATAAAATACGTCTGTCGTTGTGAACCCCATTTACACTCTGGCCTCCTCCCGCTCTCCCGCTAGTTCCTCTCTCAAGTAGTCCCTCTTCTGTTTTCATGTCTTTCTCTTTAAAAAAGCTGGGTTCTGCATATGAGGACTGTCTGAGTATCTGATTTCACATCAGATTAACTTCAGTTTCATGCACTCTTCTGGGAAGGCACTTTGACTATGGTGACTGATACTCCGCCATGTACACATGGCATTCTTTCTGTCCTCTGTTGATGGGCACCTAGCTTGGATGTAACCTGGGTGTGTGAGAATCACTACGTGTGCTAGCTTTGATTCATGTTCTTTTGTAGTTTTTTGAGGAACCTTGATACCAATTTCTGTAGTGACTGGACAGATTAACATCCCTGCTAGCAATGCATGAACGCTCCAGAGATTTCAGGGAAAGGCATGTGGAGTCATCATTATCAGTTGTTACAGAAGATTCCCATGAGCTCACTGTAAAGTGTTCCATCTCATTCTCAGGGTTACAGATAACTGAATTCCCTTTGTAAACTCTATTTTCTGGTGTAAAGAGTACCTGGAGTCTTATACCACCAATTTCTTGTATTTATCTGTCCTTTTTCTTTAAAAAAAAAAAAAAAAAGGTTAAGTTAAAACTTCATTACTGTCCCCTTTTTTGTACCACAGTTGTAAATGATCTTGACATGAAAACTTCTCGGACATATGACAAAATAATGCTAAAGTAACCATCTACCTTGGTCAAATTATTTCGGTTTTAAAAGTCTCCATGAGTAGGAAAGAGAACAAATCCCTAGAATGTGACCTGTGGCCAAGCACACTGACTGATAGTCCAGTGAGGAGGCCTTCTTAAAGTGGTGTGGAGATGGCAGGATGTCACAGTGGTGAGCAGTGTGCTGCCGTGTCGGTTGTAGTATTCTGACAACACCAGCACGGCTGTCTCTCCCAGCAGTGCATGTGCTTTAACAGAAGGCATCCTCTGGATGCTGAACCAAGGAACTAATTTGTTCATTTAATCTTCTGAACAGACTGGATTATGGACAGAACTTGGAAAGATTGAAAATAATTTTTTAAAGCCACTTCATATAGGACTTAATATGTCAAAAGCACATTATGAAGCAGAAATTAAAAACAGCCAACGAAACAGCCAAGGTTAGTGGCATGTAGTTTTATTTTCCATTAAGTCTGAAATTCAAATTCTGAAATGATCATATTTTTAAAAATATTTTATGTGTGTGTGCATATTTGTGTATCATACGTGTGTATGAGCCCATGGAAGTCAGAAGAGGGGGTGGATCACTTGGAAATGGAGCAGGTGTTTCTGAACCTCCGTGTGGGTGCTATTAGAGTGCTAAGTGCTCTCAGCCCCAAACTATCACATTTTAGTATATGTTCATTTATGCAAAAGTGAGAGGCCATGAAAGCTTTATTTGTGTAATTAAAATGATTCTTAACCAATAAAGCTGTTTCCTAAAGAATCCGCTCACATTGCACAATTCTAGTGTTTAATTTTATTTGTTGGTAACAAATATTTTGTAAGGTGTTACCTCACTGACACAATTTAAAATTATCAATGATTAAAGTAGCTTGTAAATTATTATTAAATTGTTATTAAAATCTGAAAGGTGACAGGATGGCCCAATAGGCGCTTGCCGTCTGCCAAGCCCTAAGCCTCAGTTAAATCTTTGGGGCCCAAGCAGTAGAAGAAGAGAACCAAGTCCTCCAAGTTGTCCTGTGACCCCACACACAAAGTTCATAGATAGATGTAATAAAGTCTGGCAGTAAAACATTTATTTGCCCAGTGCCGACCCTGGGGCTGCTGAGCTGGCAGCATGTGAAAGGTCCTTTCTTCCCTTGCAGCAGCCTCGACGTGCAAAGGCGTCTGCTCTGTGACTGTAGGTGGAGAAGAAATCCCTGCTATGCCTCCTGAAATGCAACTTCAGGTAACTTCCAAAATTTTAAGCTACATCCAGTCTGAGGTCTGTTCTATGCTTTGCTTTAGAAACCGCGTTAATAACACAGATTTCTGCTGGGTGTGGGGACGTGGGCCTGGAACCCTGCTGACACAGGAGGATTGCCAGTTGGAGGCCAGTCTGGGCTCCTTCACGAGACCCTCTCCCAAAAAGACTAGTAATGACCATAGTAACGCTCTTTTCTTGGTATTCAGGTCCTGCATTCAGCTCTTTTCACATTTGACTTGATTGAAAGTGTTCTAGCTCGAGTAGAAGAACTCATTGAAATCAAAACAAAGTCTACCTCTGAAGAAAATGTTGGAATAAAGTAAAAATTCTGCTTCATAAATAAATATCAATAAGATGATGTTTCCAGTATGTTTTACAATGTCAAAAAATTATTTGCAGGAACACAGGAACTTAGTTCTAGAAAAATACAGTTGGGGGCTTGTCAGTTTCTGATATACAGATGAGTGGTACACAGCCTTCACCTCCCAGAGCCTGGAGGGATGGCGCGGTCTTGCCGCTTTTCCAGGCACCCATGTGATACACACACACACACACAGGCAAAACATCCATACACATAAAATAATTTTTTTTTTAAGTACTTCTTTAGAAGATTTGATACAAACTAATTTGTTTTATAACATCAAAAAATGTAGTCAAAATGCTTTATTTGTCCACATACTGTACCAATTATTTTCTCTTTGCTTTTCCAGTGTTTATAGCAAGGGCCTATATATGCCCGAGTAGCACTGTCCCACACAACTACACTCCAGAATATTAAAGGAATCACTCAACCAAACTCCCAAAATAAAACCATGTTTAATTGTATACATATTATTTTAAATATAAATCGTCTTAATAGACATTTGGACGTTATAATTTAATAAGTTTAATTATTTTTATATTTTTCTAAATGAACACTTACAATCAAAACTCTGAATTTGGACTAACTGAATCAGTACTCAGTTTTATCTTTTGGAGTGTTCTCCAAACAGGGCTTTGCTCTATGATGTAAGCTTTGGTTGTCACCATTCTATAGCAGATGCTGTCTAAGGCTGGCTTGGAGGTAGTCTGGAGGGAGATGTAAACATGTAACAGCGGTTACCGAAACAGTCTTTCTGTAGGACATATATTTAAAAATTCATTTTACTGGAGTTGTGGCATGCTTTAGATCCTCTCACTTGGGCTGTCAATGCTTCCAAGAGCCATAAACAATCTAACAAAAACCCCATCACTCGGCATGAGAAGTCCTCTTTTGAGTTGCTGGAGGGGTTGTCCAAGAGACTCCCGAACATTACAGGCTGTGGCTGTTGCCCTTGGCTGCTCCACATGTGGAAGGTAAGTCCCTATTGCTGAAGGCTCTACACACTTCAGACACAGGGCACTGAGGCCCAGAGCTAGAGTGGACCTGACGACTTTCTAGGAACTAGCTTTCATGGTCCCAGAAGATGCCATGCAAGCTTCCAAATGACGGAAGCAACCCACAGTCCTCCCCAGCTGTGCCGCCTGTGACCACAGTGACCAGCGTGACAACAACATAGGTGCAGTAGTGGCACTCATGTCTTAGCAGAACCAAGAACTACCTGGACATAAGACCTGGTCAACAAGAGGGCGGTCATGCACTCATGTCTTAGCAGAACCAAGAACTACCTGGACATAAGACCTGGTCAACAAGAGGGCGGTCATGTACTCATGTCTTAGCAGAACCAAGAACTACCTGGACATAAGACCTGGTCAACAAGAGGGCGGTCATGCACTCATGTCTTAGCAGAACCAAGAACTACCTGGACGTAAGACCTGGTCAACAAGAGGGAGGTCATGCACTCATGTCTTAGCAGGAACCAAGAACTAGCAGAACCAAGAACTAACTGGACATAAGACCTGGTCAACAAGAGGGCGGTCATGTACTCATGTCTTAGCAGGAACCAGGAACTACCTGGATGTAAGACCTGGTCAACAAGAGGGAGGTCATGCATGCTACCAGGAACCTAGCCAACTCCCTGGGACTAGTGAAGTCATGAACTTGGAGAACCCACAACCACCACTTCTCTAAACCAGCACAATCCCTAACTACACTTTAAATATTTGTCCTAGTGACAGATAAGTTTGGGCCTCGCCCCTCATCCAGGAAACTTCTCTTTGATGAGGATGCAGAGCCAAGGGCCGATGGCTTCTGCATCTGAGGCTGGGTCCTTGCAGAAAGGGTCCCAAAGCGTTTTAAAGAGACAGTGGGGAGTTTTCTGGGAGACTGTGTCTCCTAGAAATGTCAGAAGCTATACCCATGAAGTCTCATCAGTATGGATGTCTAAACACGCCATAAAAGAGACACCAGTAGACGTGCTAACATGGAAGGGGAGAGAGCATGAGAAGCCAAGTCTAGGCGAAGCACTGCAGGCAGCTTGGGATGCTGACATCAGGAGATACAGCCTCCAGGGGAGCCCCACACTGGTTATCTAGTACTAAGTGGTCAGCCTGAAATCCTACACATACAAGTAATATTAAAGGGACTGCACAGGTTGTATTTATATATTTAGGAACACATACGTGTAACAACTAAAGAAAAAGGCCATAAACTTGAAAGAGTTGGGGTGCATGGGAGGGCTTTAAGGAAGCAAGGGGAGGAAGAAATGGAGTAATTATCTCAAAAATGTATTTAAAAACAAAAACCTTAAAATCTCTGGCCAACGTGTATTTGTGTATGAGTACCTCTCCCCCCGGGACTTACCTTAGCTATAGTGCACATGAGGTCAGCAGCATTTGCTGTGTTGTGTACAGGAAGTATTCGTAAGTTACTGCCCAAAAACCTGAAAAGAGTGGGGGGGGGGTTCACATTTGCTGTTGACAGCAGGACTGAGAGACTGCGCTCTACTCTGTCCCAGGCTCATCCAGTCACGCCCTGCATTGTCCTTACAGGATCTGAGGTGGCTGTGTGACCAGAATTCAGAGCTCACTTTGGCTTGCTTTTGTAGAATAGGTCTGTCACCAAATCAACTCTAGTCCTAACCTAAGGAACAGCTGTCTGCCCTGTTTGGTTACAAATGGCAGGTTATAAAGTTTGTCTTCTAGCAAAACAAAACTCAACTGCCTACAAGCATTAAGAACTGAAGTAAACAAAGCAGTGTAAACAATACAAACAAAACCCTGGGCTGTGCTCTGGTCCATACCTCTGATGAATCCTGAACATGAGATTCCATTCTTCAGGCCCATGGAGTGGGGCAAACAGAACCAAAATACTATTCTGGTGAATGTTAATAAACGTCTCAATTTTGGTTAGAAATATTTCCTCCGTTGATACACATTCCTTAGCATCCACCAATAAAAATGCAACTCCTACAAAAGGTGAATATAATGTGGTCATATAAAGTGAATTCCATAAGATGAGGGACCCCAAACTCATTTACACATTCATATAAATCTGTTGTTATAATCTTTATATTACAAGGTGGTTTGAGCCTTTCTTTGCCATGCTCTTTATAGCAGAGTGACTGTTCCAAGTATTTAAAGGGAAAACACTGCCCAGTAATTTTTTTTTTCTACCTAAGGCACTGGGCACATAAAAAGTGATGCCTAATTTTAATTAAAAGATTAAGTCTATTTTAAAAGTCAACCCTTCAATCCAGGTGTGGTAGTGCACATGTACAATCTCAGCATATGGAACACTGAAACAGGAGAATCGTGAGTTCAAAACCATCCTGCACTACGGAACCAGCCAGGACTATAAAATAACAACTTGTCTCTTCCTCTCTCTCTCTCTCTTGGTTTTTCGAGATACGATTTCTCTATGTAGCTTTGGAGCCTGTCCTGGAACTCAATCTGTAGACCAGGCTGGCCTTGAATTCACAGAGATCTGTAGTAATAAGAGTGGCGGGGGGCTGCGTCCCTGGCACCCCAGCTGCCTGGCTAGCTTATGCCCCGAAATAACAACACACAAACTGTATTCATTTAAATACTGCTTGGCCCTTCAGCTCTAGCCCTTACCGGCTAATTCTGATATCCCGATCAACCCATCTCTAATAATCTGTGAGAACCGGTCTTACCGGGAAGATTCTAGCCTAGTCCATCCTGGGTCGGAGCTTCATGGCGTGTGTCTGTCTGGGAGCGGGGCATGGTGTCTCTCTCAGGTGTCTGCTCCCGAGAGGAGAGCTGTGGAGTCTGACCTCACTTCCTCTTCCTCCCAGCATTTTGTTCTGTTTACTCCACCCACAGGGCCAAGCCGTTTCTTTATTGCTTAACCAATGAAATCAACAGATTGATATATGACACTCCCACATCAGAGATCCACTTGCCTCTGCCTCCTGAGTGCTGGGAGTAAAGGCGTGCATTACCACTGCCTGGCTAGAACTTGTCTCAAAATATATTTCATACTAAAGTACTTTTGGAAACATTTACTGTCTTATTAGAAAGGCTATTCTAAAGGACACAATAAACAGCCAGGGACAGGCATCCAGGAAGGAGCCATGCCCTTCCCACACCCACTACCGTGCAAGCACTCCATGTGTTAACCCTTCTGCACCTTGGAAGATCCCGTGTTGACTTTCAAAAGCTAAAAATCAACGAGATAGGTAGTTTAAAGCAAATCTTCAAAACTTTTGTTGGAAACCTTCCTAGAAGCTCAGGAATCAGGTAAATGAAACAACCCCAGTGAGCAGATACCTGGTGTCCGGCATGGGGCCAATTCATCACAGTGGTCTTAGGGGAAACCTGGGTTAGCTGTGGCGTGAACGTGTAGGTAAGTCTAGACAGCAGCGTGTGATCAGTGACTGAATGCATTTGTGCACTTTACGTGACCTCTCTGATCCTCACTGTCCTCCAGGACATGGAGAGAGTAGTTCTCTGTGGGGCTTGTCAGAGGGTTAAACATACATATGATAACTAAAACATCAAGTCACCAAGAACACTTGACTTCTTTCTCTCTGGAGTGTTTTCTATTCAGCCAAGAGGAATAATTTTGGACCCAGGTAATTTTCAGCATGAAGGTCTTTCTAGATGACTCGGAAAGCACCTGCCATCCAAATTCTCTGCTAGAGTGGTAACCCTCCTAATAGAATCTTCTCTTTCTTTCTTATTTTGAGATGGTCTTACTGTGTGGTCCAGGCTGGCCTTGGACAGCCTGCACTGTGGCTGGACACAGACGGAGATGGCTCCCTTCCTCCACCCCCCTGTCACGTCTCGCTTCCCAAGCACAGATGGAGCTGCACCTCAATATTCCCACACCTTCTTAGCCTAATTTAGTCCTGCACTTTGCCCATGACTCACCCACAATTTTAGAATTTCAGAACGTTTATTTGTTCCCATAAAGTTCTCCAATGATTTTTTTTTCCAGCAAATAAAACTAATGGGAAAACATCATATATTGGTTTGGGTATGTAAATTTGGCCAAGGTTTACTGCTGGCCTCTGTTAACTTTAATATATATATATATTATATATACATATATATATACATACACACACACACATATATATACAGAGAGAGAGAGAGAAAGAGAGAGAGAGAGAGAGAGAGAGAGAAAGAAAGAAGGAGACTTTTCTATTTTCGCCTCAGTCCCAAAGCAAGCACTTTTCCATCCCCTACCAGATCCCATTTAACCAAAGGGACGAGTCCTACAGTTGGCCATATGCGTGATTTTGCAGCAAAAGCAAAATGCAGCCCGTATACTCTTCTAAAAGATAACATATTAAGCATTATATTGCTACTGAATTTCAAAAATTAATATGTACATCCACATATTTAAAAGGAAGTAAAGGCAATTAGCAAATATACCATACCAGACAGAGAGAAGACAATCGATCCTCTTTCCAATGTATCTGAGTACCGAACCTTGTGGCTTCGATTTTCTAGGGCAGTTGCAATTTCATAACTCTTGAAAAAATTTTCAGAAACACAAACATAAGACATGCCTTAAATGATTTTTATTACAACTAGGACTAAAAAGTGTTCAATGGTTTGTTTTGTCACTGTTCCACTTAAAAAGATTTATCCCCAGACACAAAGAGGAGTGAGACCATTCCTGATAGAGACAAACCAGGGAGCAGTGTTCAGAGCTAAAAACTACAAGAACCACAGAAAACTCTTTTTTTTTTTTTTTTTTTTTTTTTTTTTTTTTACTTTTTCTTCTGTTTTTCAAGACAATGTTTCTTTGTGTAGCTGTGGCTGTCCTGGAACTCATGTAGACCAAGCTGACCACAGAAAGCTGCCTGCCTCTGCCCCCCACCTCAAGTGCTGGGATTAAAGACCTGTGCACACCTTTGATCCCAGCACTTGAGAGGCAGAGGCAGGAGAATCTCTTTGAGTTCAAGGCCAGGCTGGTCTACAGAGTGAGTTATAGGACAGCAAGGAGTGTTACACTGAGAAACTCTGTCTTAAAAAACCAAAAACCAGGAGCTGGAGAGATGGCTCAGCGGTTAAGAGCACTGGCTGCTCTTCCAAAGGACCTAGGTTCAAGTCCCAGCACCCACATGGCAGCTCACAACTGTCTGTAACTCCAGTTCCAGGGGACTCAACACCCTTACACAGACATACATGCAGGCAAAACACCAATATACATAAAATGAAAATAAATAAATAACTTAAAAAACCAACCAAACAAAAGGCATGTGCCACCACTGCCCAGCAATTCATCTGTTTACTTTACATCCCAGCCACAGCCTGACCCCATCCTCCACTCCCAGTCCATCTCCCCCACCTCCCACTTCCTCTCAACTCCCTCTTCTGTCTCCATCCAGGAAAGGAGCCAGAGGAGTCAAGGATACCACAAGAAAAGCCACAGAATCAACTAACCTGGGCTCATCAGGGCTCAGAGACTGAACTGACAACCAGGGCGTCTGCATGGGACTGACCTAGGCCTTCTGCATATGTGTTACAGTTGTGTAGCTTGGTCCTCTTGTGGAACTCCTAACAGGGGGAACAGGGGCTCTTTTACTGGCTTTGGGGAAACTTCTTTTTAAGAAACGATCTGGCAGTGGGTTCTTATGTGCACTAGTGTGTGGCTGTGGGTTCTTATGTGCACTAGTGTGCGGCAGTGGGTTCTTATGTGCACTAGTGTGTAGCAGTGGGTTCTTATGTGCACTAGTGTGTGGCAGTGGGTTCTTACGTGCACTAGTGTGTGGCAGTGGGTTCTTACGTGCACTAGTGTGTGGCAGTGGGTTCTTACGTGCACTAGTGTGTGGCTGTGGGTTCTTATGTGCACTAGTGTGTGGCTGTGGGTTCTTATGTGCACTAGTGTGTGGCTGTGGGTTCTTATGTGCACTAGTGTGTGGCTGTGGAAGAGGCTGGAGTTGTTTCTTAGGGGTGGAGAGGCCAACACACACACACACAGAATACCCTCTAGGTGACAACCAGCTTCCTGATCATTGTTTACATTTCCTGTGGTGAGCCAGAAACAGAGAGGCAGCACTGCTGTATGATGATTTAAGTATTACCATTAAAAATAATTACCTTTCTTACTAATCTACCTAAAATACTAGATCATATCAGGCAAAGGGCTAAAACCTAAGTGGTTAATATATATCCTAATTGGCTAGAACTCAAGTTTGTTAGCCTTTACATTAAAAAAAAAATTACCCATGTGCTGGGGGATAACTCAATGGGGAAGAGCACTTCCTGGCCACGCCAAGTTCAAGTCCCTAGAAGTGGTCTGAAAAAAGCCATGGCCACATGTCTATAACCCCAGTACTGGACTTGCTGGCCACCAGCCTAGGCCCAGAGTCAGTGAGAGAATTAGGAGGATAAGGAAGGAAGAGCAGGACACATGACATCCTCCTGTGGCCTCTGCAAGGTGTGTACAACCATTTGCACCCACATACATGTATACATACACCACACACATGCGTGTGCGCACGCACACACACCTTACCTAAACTGACTTTACATTTTCCTTTAGAAAAATATAATTTAAGTGTATAGTCTAAAATATATGCTACTTTTTTTTCCTAAATAGAGTATTTTATGTTACTGAGGCTTTGTCCAGGAGTTCAACCATGGCCCTTTCTTGTGTGGTTTTTAAATTGTGCACTGCTTCCAGCAATAGCAGATTCGGTAATTTAGGTCAACTCTCCTGCTGAAGAAACTTGAAAATGACAGTTTGAAAACAAATCTGTACAAATGCATCAAAGAGCTAGCAGGAGAGCGAGAAATTATAAGGTCAAGATCTATACAAAAATTCAAAGATATGACCGCAGCATCTAGGCCATCTCTTCCCCAAGGGCACCTGCCAATTCGAGACAGGCAGAGTGAAAGCTGGGTAGAGCTGTTGACAAAGTAGAGCAGATCTCACAGGGACACAGCCAGCTTCAGACCACCGCAGTCCCTGGAGCTGGATTAAAGGGACGCTCGATTGCTACCTACAGCGCTGTGGAGAAACATTTCTCAACCAGGGCTTCCCAAAGCCCATTACAGAAGGAAACCGAGTGCCTGCTTTCCCAGTTCTAGAGGCACAGAAGGTTAACTGATAATATACGGCTTGGTTGGCCAAATTTAGCAGATAAACAGCTCTCAGTCAAATCTGAATTACAAACGTGAGATTTGTTTCCAGTGCTGGAATCAAATCAGGAGCTTACACAGGTGCTCTGCAGTGACCAGTTCGGTAAGGCAATTTTTAAAAGTCTTATGTAATATTTAGGACTTCTATTGATGCATTATTCATCTAAAATGAAGTTTTCTGTTTTGCCTGACAAACAGCATCAATTTAATTCTATTATAGAATTAAGGCCTTTGTAGAAGAGCATACTCTTCTAAATATATTAAAGACTTCAAATTACTTGTATAATTTTTAAAATATAAATTATAATACACAGACACACACCAGTAAGTTGACATGACAGAGAACTACCGTAAACAGTAGCTAATAAAAATGGGTCCACAAGGGATCTAGACAGTCAGGCTAACAGACACTTATCTTAAAATAGGTCTGCTTTCTATCTGTAAGGAGATGAAATATGTTGAAAATTTTAGCAAAAACTGAAAAAAATATGGAAAGATGCAGTAGTATGTAAGAGCCAAACTGCCTAAGATGCTCATCATATCTTTAAAATTAAAAAAAGGAGTATATCAGCCAGGCAGTGATGGTGCACACTTTAATCCCAGTACTCAGGAGGCAGAGGCAGAAGGATCTCTGTGAGTTCGAGGCCAGCCTGGTCTACAGAGTGAGTTCCAGGACAGCTAGAGCTACACAGAGAAACCCTGTCTCAAAACACTCCCCCCAGAAAAAAACAACAACAGCAAAGACCTGTTTCATTTTGTTTATACATCACAAATAAAAAATATAACCTTCCTGAAAGTACAACAGCTCTTTTTTTAACTCTTTTTCATCTTTGTAATTATTTACTAGCTAGCAATATTCTTAATTAAGGCTACCAATAGCCTTAATTTCTAAGCTACATATGCATATAAGAAGTATGGGACTAGGACAGAATACAAAAGAAAACCACTCAACTCTGCAAAAATACAAAAGAGAAAACAATGGCCCAATATTTAATATATGAGTCAAAAATAAAATGTTTGCAAGTGAAATTTTAAGAAAATAATAAGAAAAGTCTACAGTAACCAACTCTTTTAGCAAAGAATCACAAAGATCTGTTACTTGGGATCTTTTTGGCAAATAACATCAAAAACCGCATTTGAAACACTGAACATCTCTGAATGCGATGAGACAACCAGACATGGGGCTCCGATCTAATGAGTATTTAGTGGACTGGCGAACTCAGAATCAGAATACACTACAGGACACACGGGAGCACATGCCTGTGTGCCCAGCACTTGGGATGTAGGGGCAGGAGGACCAGGACATCAGGAGCTGAAGGCCATCTCAGTTGTAGCAGCTGGAAGTTTGTATCACTACATGAGACCCTGTCTCAGAAAAATAAATGAAGTAAGCACAAAAGTAAAAATAAACAAATAAATAAACAGACATTTTAAAAAGAGGCTCTAAGGAAACATAAAAGAACACTGGGCCGGGATGGCAGGACACACTGGTAATCACTGCACCGCACACAGTAGAAGGAAGGCCAAGGCAGGATCAGAACTCCCGTGTCTTCTGCTCCACAGCAAGTTTGAGACCTGAGCTAATGACACCCTACCTAAAAAGGGCACCAGAACATTCCCAACTTTCACACACTTAGGAAGTAGGGTTCTGAACGCGATGGCAGAACATACATAACTAACTTACATTTGGCACATTTACTTCCTGTTCCCTAACTGTGGATTCCGTCTTCAATGAGGCGCTGCAAGCTTCGTAATGGAAGACCAGTGGTCTAAATGCCCCCTTACCTTAAGAGATGAGCTGATAATAATGGTGGTTGTCCACTTTATCTTTTCCTTTCCTCCACTAGTCTCCATTGGCGTGCCGTTGGGCGAGCCCAGACTCTGACTGCAGCACAATCCGAGGAAATGAAGAAATGTTTGATGGGTGAATAAACGTGAGATAAATATCAAAGTCAGAAAAGGAAGTGTCTGGCTGCACATTTGGCTTCTCTCATCCTACGTCTTACTAATTGTCTTTTTAAAAAAAATAAAATAAAATCAGGGTCCCCCAAGCCTAGGTTGGCCTCAAACTCTTCCAAGTACAGAGATCACAGGTGTGAATCACCATGTCTGCTCTTAAGAGTTCTTGTAATATTTAGAGGCAATTTCTCCGAAGCACTAACCTAGAGAGAAGACAACTCGGGTCAACAGCCGTTTTATCCAATTTGTAAACCAGAGTTAGCCTGCCAATATCAGGAGTTCTTGCCCACAGTATTAACACCAGAATATCTTTGGCATTATCACTTTCTGGTAACAGTTCTTAAGCCCATACTCACAGGGTCATGGGACAAAGGCCAGGTGATACCTGAGCACAAGCAGTTTGTGATGGGAGGGGACCAGTGTACTGGAGTCCCTAACTTTTTATAAGCAATTATGAGTTCTATCCTGGAGGCAAATCCCATCTCCTCTGAAACACATATATCTAGCAACCAAACTGATTGTTATAGAATTCTACAAAACTAGGTTCTTTGGAGAAATAGCTGATTGCAGGACAAAGGCAGGAAATATTTAAGAGGAGCCAGGATTCTGTACTGCCCCGAAGTAAGGACACGTTCAAAAATAAACCTCACTGACGGGCATTATGGCAGAGGAGGCCAAGGAAATGGACAAAAGTGAGCAGAACACTTTGAATGGAAAAACAAACTGTGGTGGTTTGAGTAAAATGGGTCCCTATAGGCTCACAGCAAGGTGTGGCCTTGTCACAGTACCCACGGCTTTGTTGGAGGATGTGCTCACGAGGGGGCAGGCTTTGAGGTCTCAGATATTCAAACCACTACACTGGGCACACTCTGCATCATCTATAACTTACAGAAATCGGAATGTTCTAAAGATAGCTTACTCAGGACTGAAGAAGTGGCTCAACAGTTGAAAGCAATCTTGTAGAGGACCTGAGTTTGATTCACCAAAGTCACAGCAGTGGCTATAAACCCATTATGACTCCGTCTCTAAGAGGATCTGATTGATGCCTTCACGAGCTCACACCTGCGCAGACTCACACCACATGCACATTGGAAAATGATCTTTTAAAAAGACTTGTTTTATTTTGTGTATGGGTATTTTGCCTGTATCAATGATTATGTACTATAGGTGTGCCTAGTAGCCACCGAGGCCAGAAGAGGGTGTCAGATCTGGAACTGGAGTTACAGATGGTTGTGAACTGCCATGTGGGTGCTTGGGATTGAACAAAGGTTTGTTGGAAAAGCGGCCAGTGCTCTTAACTGCTGAGCCATTTCTCTAGCCTCCAAATAATAGATCTTTAGAATAATAAGCGTCAGCTTTTTCTTCAAAGCTCCTTAAAAATCCTGTCTACTCCAAAAAAATAACCCTCCAAACGACATGAGACTTGTTCAGAATTTGCCTTCCTCGATTGAACACTTAGTGTATTTTCTCAACAAGATTGCTTAGCGGTGTATTTTATTTCAACAGCTAAACCATGCAAGTCTAAATGTCGACTAAATTTACCTTCTGCGTGTTAACTAATACGGAAGTAGTTCAAAGCAAAGTTTAGAAAGCGGCTCATGCAAATCAAAGTCACTTTGGGTGGTGAGTTAGCAGTTCCCAAGTTCCTCCTGCTGAGCTAAACCCAGCCGCTCCATAACGGCCTCATTTATGGCATGAATGAATGAATGACAAACTAGCTCTCTGAGAGCAAGACATTTTCTGGCGGACCTAACCCAGCTCTTGATACACGGTGAAGAAGGGGAATTCACCTCCCTGCCCCCACCATACACAATACAAGGCGGCACACAACACGGCAATGTTTGTAGATAGATTCTGAGCTCTGATTGACGCGTGTATATCAGTAGTAGACACATGTTTAACCCTTCGCACCCTTTATCTTGGTTTTGAAAACAAACTCTATGGGAAGAGAATCGGGGTCAGTACTTTCCCAAAGGGGCACTGTTGAGGATGAGAAATCAGAAACTAGGGCTATGAAAGCAACGTTTCCTCGGTATTTCCATGGGAAAAAGTAGGCTAGCTGGCAAGACAAGAACTTCTTCGCTCCGGAGCTACTTCACTTTGGTCGAAGCTTCCTCTCCTGAAAATGAAACTTGGACCGGTCGGTCGGGCTAGAGGTAGGAAGGGACTTCAATTCCCAGCACGTGGTGCTCACATACACGAAGGCAGAGTTCCCACGCACACAAGGTAAAAAACAAACTCAATGTCCCCTAGGCCTGGGCTCTTCCTGCTCCTGTTTTGTTTTTCCCAAGATTGCGAATGGTCTTCAATTTAACTACGTTTAAGGTTGCATAGTAACTTCCAACAAATCACCTTCTCTGCTCTTGGGACCCACGGGATCCTCACGGAATCTCCTACTCCTTATTCTTTAGATAAAGAAGATAAAGAGATAAAACATAAATGCGCAGTGCTCAGGCAGGGCAAGCACACCGGGGCAGCCCTTTCCCGCCTTTCCCGCCAGGCCTCCCCAGGGAAGGAAGGGCAGGTTCGCCCCTCTGCCGCCCAGCCAGCCCCGAGGGAGCCCGAGGAAGCAGCACAGCCGGAGGGACGGCCGGATAGACAGAGAGACAGAGCACACCTGACCGCCAGGCCCCGGCTCCGCTCCTCCCGGGCCACACTGAGCTTCGCCAGGCTCCAGGGCCGCCCCCGCCGCGGTGCATGCTGGGCTTTGACTTTTGCACAGCCGCAGACCCTGCTCTGCTCCAAGGGCTAAGGAACGCATGCGTGCTGACCCCGTGACTTTAGTCACAGCAGAGGCAGGCAGAGATCTGGGAGTTTGTATTCTTTGATTGGCAGCAACGACAAATCTAAGTGACCCGCATTTTGTCCAAGTTGTGAAAAAGACCCAGATGTTCACTGATGGCTCTCTATGTAAAATATTTGTTCTTTTTTAGAGTCCAGTTTTCAGACCTAAACGAAGCTTAATAAGTTGTTTGATCGTTGTTGCTCAGAGTGATAAGTGTTTAAAAAAGGAGGGAAAAAATTAGATTTGATTAATATTCCGGGGGCTGGAGAGAGAGAGAGCTCAGAGGTTAAGAGCATTGTATTACTTCTCCGGATTATTTACATCTGCAGTGACTGTGTAAACGCGGTCTTGGTCACCATCCACTCATAGATTCTGGATTTCCTCTTAGGTCCCCTGTCTTCCTTACACCCACCAGGCGTGTTCTGATGAAGGGCTCCTGCGTCAGTCTTTCTGTACAAAGCTCGCTCTCCAGATGGCATCAGAGCTTATGATCTGGTCTCGTCTTCAAATCCTAGTTCAAGTATACTGTTTACAGTAAGACCTACCACAGCGCCCTGACTCTCTTAGCATGTCTGTTCATCCTTAGCAGCTGTCACTTCTGACATGCTACATAAGACATATGTGTGCTACTGTTTATAGCTTTCCACGTCTCACTAGAAGGTAAAAGCCCACCCAAGAGCAAGGATGATTTTGCTTTTCCAGACAGGGTTTCTCTGTGTAATAACTGTCAGTGACCAGCCTCGACAAAAATACCTCTTGCCAGGGTAAGGGCATGGGGATTTAGAAATATAGTAAAGAATATGAAGATGCGAATGAAAATAAAGCAGAGAAACATACAGGATAGTATCGGGAGGGAATTCCAGTAAGTACTGAAATTCACCCGCATTTAATTTCCAGCTGCTTAAAATATCCCTGACCCCAAAAGGTAGGAGTAAGACAAAAGACTACATTAACATGATACAAAGAAATGAACATACCAATTGAAGGTCGCGGGCTACATTCATAGTGAAGTATTCTGTTTTTTTTTGTTGTTGTTTTTTTTTTGTTTTGTTTTGTTTTCTTTTGTTTTTTGAGACAGGGTTTCTAGAACAAAACAAGTCACTCACATATCCTAGACCAAAACATTCTGTAGGCAAACCTCTCCCTAGGTGGAATCAGATGTTCCTTCATTTGGAACATCCCTCATTAAGGAACTGGACCCTTAGTCGGATCCTTAGACTTTTGAGGTAGAAACACATCTACTTCTCTTCCTGAAATTCAAGGTCTGGTTATTAGCCACACCTGTTGACAATAACCTTGGGAGAGCAGAACTCTCTGGTCTACACCTGAGTGGGACCTGTGTTAAAGGTAGAAGCACTCGAGGTAAGTTCCAACTCTCTGACCTTTGGTCAACGTGGAAATAGGCTCACATTTTCAGACCTCCACAAACACCTCAAACTCAAGAGATCCTCCTGCCTCTACCTCCTGAGTGCTGACATTAAAGGAATGCACCACCAACTGCCCACCAAGAACAAGGATTTTTATCAGGCCGGGTTGCTGAGGCCTCTCTGGAGGTGTCTGATATTAGATGTACCAGGAGAGGGCACAAGGTCATTATGTTCACAGCACTACAAAAACCTGATGTTAAACACACAGGGTTGTCTCCTCCACAGAGGACATGGATACCTGTTTTTCACCCGGAAGCCTGGGAGTGGATGTAGTTATAGCCTGGTGATCCGTGCCACACCTGAATCCCCTGAACTGACTCCTCCTCCCTTGACCTCTATTTTGAACCTTTGCCTCCTTCAGCAAATCCTACCGGTGAGTGCATCACCACAACCAGCTACTTCCCCTTTTTCAGGAAGATTCTAGCCTACGTCCACCCTGGGTCGGAGCTTCATTGCTTCTGCCCCAGAGAGGAGAGGAAATGGCGTCTGAGCTCACTTCCTTTTCCTCCCAGCATTCTGTTCTGTTCACTCCACCCATCTATGTTCTAACCTATCAGGCCAAGCAGTTTCTTTATTAATTAACCAATGACCTTCCTTCATCAATCCTCAGTCAACACTTGCACTTTGTAACTCGGTGACCTCTACAATGACCTAGACTGGACCAGATCCACCCCCTAGACCCT